CTTTTTGTAGATAATAAAAAGTACCTTGATAACACAAAACACAGCAAACCTCAAACTGCAGTAAACAACAAGGTCCTAGTGTTATAATCTTGACATATAAAATATTAGTCTTACTGTGACCTCAAATCCCTGAATGCAAAACTGCTTCTCCAAAGTGTGCAACAATTATGAAGCCCACAAAAAAGTCCTTAATGGTACTTCCTCCAGCGATCCTTCTCTGTAAAATGAAACAAGGCGATGTAATTATGCATGGCAATGGTTACACGTTTGTTAATGTTAATGATATCAGTTCAGACCTACTTAGATGTGTGTAGTTCCATATGTAACACAGCACACAGTATCCAGTCAAAAGCATTGATATTCCTCCAACTCCTCCTCTACGGACATCTATATACTTCCTGTAGTACCACTGCCAGCCTGATAGCAGAAGAAAACATATAATCAATAAAGTCTTTATATTCAATAAAGTCAAATGAAATGTAATATTGGATTATGTTGGAAATGAACAAACCTTGCTTAAACATGTTCACAATCTCCCCGGGCGACACAGGAGCTCGGGCGCCAAGCCATAAACCAAGTTCATTCAATCTGACATCTCCAAATTTCCGCCGAAAAAGAGGCACTATATGAACAAAGACATGGTTTATTTTATATATATATATATATATTTATATATATATTTATATATATATATATATTTATATATATATATATATATATATATATTTATATATATATATATATATATATATATATATATATATATATATATATATATATATATATATATATATATATATATATATATATATTGTAATGGAAATTCATTTTAGATAAACATGTGTAGTGGAAACTTACAGCAGAAACAGCGGAGCACCTGATGCACGTACAGAATGGGCCTTATTAGGATTTGACCTTGCAAGCAGTACAAACTAGATAGAACAGTGAACATACTTTGCTTCAGTGTCTCATTCTGTAGAAACTGTTGTCAGAATGGGCAGTATTAGGGTTTGACCTTGTAAGCAGTAAAAACCAGATAAAAGGGTGAACACACTTGACTTCAGTGTCTCACTCTGCAGAAACTGTTGTTGCTGTATGACTGTGACCTTCTTTGCAAAGAATAAAACTTTAAAAAGACATTCCGAGTAAGACTTTGTTTCTTGACCACAGAGAGCGCCTCTTTAAAGAAAATTGCCACTACAATTTGGTGTCAGAATAGTGGGATGTCTTGGAGGAACTTTTCCGGACCCTGCGGACGGTGACTGATCATCCTGGGACTTCGTGTCACAGCCCTGCCCCGCTCGATTGAGGGTTGAGGGGCCGACCGCAGGGCTCGGAGGGGAACCCCACTGACATCTGGGAAAAAGAACTCAAGTGGCATCTGAACTCTCTGGTAAGAGACAAATTCTTTGTTTGTTACTAAAAGAAAATTGAACAGTTTTGGGCATTTGATTAGGCAATTAAAAGGGTTTTTCACTGTAATTTGGGCCATCACCATGCTGGTAGATCTGTCTCTGTGGGATAGCAGCGTGATTAATGCAAGTGAGATCTGACATCAGGTGGGGATCGAGACCTTTTTACAAGTGAGATCTGGCGTTTAGCTGAGATCAAGACCTTACACAAGTGAGATCTGGCGCCTGACTAAGATCAAGACCTTTTTAACACGTTTGGCTAGCTAACTGCGATTTACTCCCAGGAGGGGGTTGAAATCAGGGGGCTGTGCGATTTACTTCCAAAAAGAGGTTGAAATCTAGGGCTGTGCGATTTACTTCCGGAAGGAGGTTGAAATCAGGGGCCAAGCGATTTACTTCTAAAAGGGGGTTGAAATTGGGGGCCACAAAATTAGAGCTGGAAAGCTTAACTTTTCGATTTTAGGTGAAAAATCGAAATCTGTTGGAGACGTCCGACAGATTAATAGGTACCGAAAAAGTCCAGGGGAAAGATTGTTGCCAGCATGGGGAAGTCTCAAAGCAAAATAAAAAGATATGATACACCGGTGTTTTGGAATATGGGAAATTTATACGGCAAAAGAAAAAAAAAAAAGAAAAAGGCATGCAAGAGATAGGAAAACAATAAAGTATCACAAGTTTCTAAGGGAAAAGGAATGTTGAGTGTTACTAGGTTAAACATAATGAAAAAGCAGAAGGAAAAGCAGGTTGTTGTTGTTGTGAAAGGCATGTGTGTGTGTCGTATGGAGACACTGTTGATTGTTGGCTCAGGGAGGCAGATAAGAGGCAAAGAGGAAAATGCTGCAGAGGCAGCTGGCATGAAAAATGTGAAAGGGTGAATGAAAGAGTAATTAGCACTACTAATCCTTTCTATACATCTGTTTCCATACATGTACCGCCGTACCATCACTATCCCATGGCTGAGCTGCGAGCCCTGAGAACTGACCCAAACCTCAACTGCTACTGTCCCAGAAGACCTCCGACCGCACCAACGAAATTCCCACCTCAAGCGAGTGAAGGACATTTGTTTGAACTGGAGAAATGGACATTTAACGAACATTCTGCTGTGTGCTCAACATGCTGAAGACAAGCTGACAGTGAAGCAAGAGCAAGACAAGAAGAAAGCAGAAAGGGAGCTGTGCATGGCTCTGGTACAAGTGGCCAACCAAAGATCCAACCAACACCTGACAACCAAGTTCAAAGGTGACAAAGGTGTCAAGGGTGAGAAAGATACTAGAAGATGGAGAAACTGGAATGTGACGGATGGCGATGAAACCTGCAGAGCCTGTGGTGCACATGACAAGAAACGGTCTCAAATGTCTGCGCTTGCCACCGAGATGGACTTTTGGTTAAGGATTGACCCGAAAGGCGCTAACCAATAACGAGGAGCTGATGTGCGGAGAGGGAAGAGCAGAATGGAGAGGGTCTGGGCAAACAGCCAACAGCTACAGTAAAGGGAAGTGAACATTTTTTTACTAACATGTTTAAATGCAGACACATTTTTATACACACACATTTTATATTCACATACACTGACAAACTGGCTCTTTGCAATGAAGGAAAAGCTTGCATTTCCCACTGTAAATTTGGCATTGTTTTTAATAGTGAAGCATTTTTTTTAAATATGCAAAATATTCTATGTTGATTGAGAATACATTGGTTGAGTTTCTAGCTGATAGTGGAGCTAGCATATCTTGCATACGACCATGTGACCTGCAGTGTGAAATACCTTTAACAAACAAATTTCACAAGTCTCTGTCTGGATCTGGTCATACAGTGGTTAAGTGATTTACAGCTCCACTGACCTATGAGACAGAGGGGGGTAAAATTTTCAGACATGCATTTGTTTGTTCACCAAAATGCCCTGTTCCTATCCTCGGAAGGGACATTTTGTGTAAACTAAACTTGATTTTAACAGCAGATTCCACTGGTGTGAGAGTGATTGAAGGAGAGGAATTTTGTTGTTTACAAATTGAATCACAAGCACCGAAGTGGGCTTATGAATGGCTGGTTGAAAACAATGAGTGGGCTAATTCAATTTGCAAATTGGCTGAAGAACGTGTAAAACCTTTTGACAGGGATATAATGTCTCCTGGTGAACTGCATTGTACGTCACATGTCGTAACTGATAGGGATGCAGAGTTTGAAAAGGCTTGGTTTGAGGCAAATGTGAATGAAACTTTGATTTTAGAGAAAATGTACTGGAAGGATAGTCTGTGTGCAGTTTCAGTGTCTCTGTCAGAAAAGCAGCGTTCATTCTATCTCATGTCAGCACAGGCTGTGCCTCACATATCAGTTTGCAAGGGTAAACATCAGTCTTGGGCTGATTTAGGCCCGTTTGTGAAGCAGTGTCTTGAAGTCAAAGATTGGATCAGCAGAGAGGGAGGGGTAGAATGGAGCGTGCTCTCGCAGGCCTTTAGGGTGGACAGTGAAACTGAAACAGCTGTTTCAAGAACTGTGACTGCGATTGACAAACTTTGCGTAAAGAATTCTTGCATGGTTGACTTTAACGCTGCAGACATACACCCAGCTTTAGCAGAAATACCAAGTGAATTGTGGGCTAAAAGCAAATATGATGTTGGTTTAATCAAAGGTTGTGATCCAGTGACAATCATTGCAAAATCTGATTACAGACCATGCCAACAACAATATCCTTTGAAAAGGGAAGCCATTGAGGGCATTACCCCAGTATTTGAGGCTTTAATGGAACAGGGCGTTATTGTACCATGCAACAATTCTGAGGTTTGCACCCCTATTTTTCCTGTTAAAAAGATAAGGGATAATGGGATGCCTACAGAACGGCATTTCGTACAGGATTTACAAGCAGTAAATGCAGCTGTCAAACAAAGGGCTCCATTAGTTCTAAATCCGTACACGATTTTGTCACAAATTCCTGAAAAATCACAATTCTATTCAGTGGTTGATTTGGCTCATGCATTTTTCAGTGTGTCAGTGGACAAAGACAGCCAGTTTTGGTTTGCATTTAATTTCAATGGCAAAGGCTACACTTTTACACGTCTGTGTCAGGGTTTTACAGCATCTCCAACTTTGTACAATGAAGCGTTGTTAAGAAATTTGGAACCTTTGACCCTGACAGCTGGAACTGCTTTGCTACAGTATGTTGATGACCTGTTGATATGTGCTGAGAATGAAGAGACGTGTGTGAAAGACACTGTGACTCTCCTTAGGCATTTGGCTAAGGAGGGCCACAAGGTCAGTTTGACAAAATTGCAGTTTGTTAAACAAAAGGTAACTTTTTTGGGGCACGTCATTACACCACACAGCAAATCTCTGTCTGATAAAAGGGTGAGTGGTATAAAAAATGTACCAAAACCACTGACGAAAAAACAAAAAAAACAAATGTTGTCTTTTTTGGGTATGTGCTCATATTGTCGCACATTTATTCCAAATTATGCAATTTTGGAACAACCCCTGAGAGCCCTAACATTAGGGAAGGGAATGAAATCCACTGACAAACTACGGTGGACGACAGAGGCAGAGCAGGCATTTGTAAACATGAAATTACAAATGGCTGAAGCCCCTGCATTGGGTTTACCTGTACCAACAAAACCATTTGTTCAGATGGTAGATGAAAGAAGTGGGTTCATGACGTCATTGCTCCTACAGGATCATGGAGGTAGACTGCGACCTGTGGCCTACTTTGAGCAAACTTGACCCTGTAGCAGCAGGCCTGCCACGTTGCTTAAGAGCAGTGGCGGCTGCGGAAAAAGCTGTGATGGCTTCAAGAGATTTTGTTGGTTATTCTGATCTGATACTGATGGTGCCACATTCTGTGTCCATGATACTTCAAGAACAAAAAAGATTGCATCTGTCAACAGCTCGCTGGCTGAGATATCACACTATCTTGTTAGTTATGCCAAATGTGACTGTTAAACGATGTACTGGTTTGAATGCAGCTGCTCTTCTTCCTACTGAGGAGGATGGGGAAGAGCATCATTGTTGTTTAACAGCACTTGAACAGGTGTGTTCGCCACGACCTGACCTTTCTGACGAACCACTTGAAAATTGTGACAATGTCCTCTTTGTGGATGGTTCAGCATTTAAAGATCCACAAACAGGCCAGAATAAAGTTGGTTACGCTGTAACAACTGAATTTGATGTGGTGGCCTCTGGGAAATTACCAGGGCACTATTCGGCACAGGCCGCAGAGCTCGTGGCATTGACAGAAGCATGTAAATTGATGGCAGAAAAGGAGGCTACAATTTACACTGACTCAAGATATGCATTTGGGGTAGCTCATGATTTTGGGGCTCTGTGGAAACACAGAAAATTTCTAAAGTCTGATGGTCGACCGATACTCCATGCTCCTTTAGTGGCAGCCCTGCTGGATGCGATTTTACTACCTGACAAACTGGCCATTTGTAAATGCGCAGCGCACACCACCAATAAAGATTCTGTTTCTGTAGGTAACTCCAGGGCAGATGGAGCAGCAAAAGTCGCAGCATCCCAAGACAAGGACAACTCTGAATGTTCTTTGCTATCTGTTGGTGATAACAATGATGTGTGTTCTTCTTTGTAGGACATGCAGACCTTTGCGACGGGGCGGGAGAAGAACAAGTGGAGACAGTCTGACTGTGTGATAAAAGATAATGTGTGGAAGAGTGCTGAGGGCAGGGCGTGTTTACCAAAACATTTTTTCCAACATTATGCAAAATTACTTCACGGTAAAGATCATGTGTCAAAAACAGCAATGGTTGCGCAAATGAACGAACTGTGGTTCACAAAGGGGTTCACTGCATTTGCGGACAATTTCTGTAGACGATGTGTAATTTGCAACACACATAATGTGGCCAGAGCGATAAAAGTTCCACTATCATCTCATCCACCTCCAACAGGGCCTTTTGAATATTTGATGATGGATTTCATTGAATTGTCCCCATGCAATGGGAAAAGGTACTGTTTGGTGATGGTTGACATGTGGTCAAAATGGGTTGAAGTTTTTCCAACCTCAAAACAAGATTCGGCTGCGGTAACAAAAGCGTTACTGACTGAAATTGTGCCGAGATGGGGAATACCACGAAAAATAAGTTCAGATAATGGTACTTATTTTGTTAATGAAGCATTAAAACAAGTGGGCCAATATTTGGAAATTGATTTGAGAACATATTGCAGTTACCATCCGGCTTCAGGTGGAGCTGTTGAAAGAGAAAATGGCATCCTGAAAAACAAATTGGCAAAATGTTGTGAAGACACAGGGCTTACATGGGTTCAAGCTTTACCCATTGTCCTGATGTACATGAGAATGAGAAAAAGATCAAAAATGAATTTGAGCCCGTTTGAAATTCTCTTTGGTAAACCACCGCGTGTAGGTGTGAATGGGGGAAAGCAGCAGCTGCCCTCAACAGATGTGTGTGAGAATGACATGTTGAATTACTGTAAAGAATTGTCTCATGTGTTGTCCGATGTTTGTGTGCAGGTAAAGGCCGCATTGGGAAAGGCTGCTGAGAGACTACTGGCGATTTCGTGGTGATCAGGGACCTGAGGAGAAAGAGCTGGAGAGCGAAACGCTGGTTGGGTCCATTTCAAGTGCTACTGACCACTGAGACAGCGGTGAAGGTTGCAGAGCGGGCGACGTGGGTGCACGCTGGGCACTGCAGGAAAGTTCCATCACCTGAGAAGGATTCCACGAGGGAGTAGGAGAGAAAGAGGGGCTCTGAAGCTGTCTGAAGAAAACAGCAGGCTGCTATCTGAGTGAAGCAAGGTCACAGCTGGGGAGAAACAACAAGGTCAAGAGGTGTGTGTGAGACAGTAACTTCTGAATACAACACTAAGCAGCAAGAAGATGGAGGAGAAAGCGACCAAAAGAGAGGTGAATAAGCTGTGATTGACCATCGCATTAAAGATCTGAAGATGATCGAAAAGATTCGCTGGCATCCATTCCGAGTGCCAGGTATGTGTGGGCTGAAAAAAAAAAAAAACATGTTGTGGCTGACGTTACTATCATTGACATTATGTTACGTCATCTTCCTTGCTCTGGAACTGGCAATGGAGCGTGTGGATTGAGACAAATCACACTGATGTTGCTATTATTATCACTGAATGTTCTGTTGTTTTCATGAACCTGATTCCAGGAAACCATTTCTGACATTGTAGCCGATATGAGATTGGCCGTAAAAGAGCCTAAGAACGCTAACAACTGATGGCTAGATTGGCTGTCATTTAAGTGGGGAAACTATTTCTACTGGGCCTTTACTGTGGTGTTACCTGTATTGGGGGTGGGTCTAGTGATATTATGTTGTCTGCCATGTATATTCAGATTTGTATCATGGTCAGTGGGCAGACAGATTACATCTACAACATCCCATCTGATGGTAAAGATGGCGGTTAAAAAAGAGGGTATGAATGTTGACATGGGTCATGATTTTGATTATGACTTTGACGATAACAGTAGCTACATGGATATGGATAAAGAAAAACCGTAAACAAATTGAGAACAAAATTTTAGGTGACAGCTGTTACTTAATTGGGAAAATATTAACAGACCTGACTTTTTGAAATTTGAGATAACTATCTGCTTGCTTATGTGTATTTTGGGTCTATCCAAACAAAAACAGCAAACTGCATGAGTTGGTATGTTCTGTAACAAGTCTTAAAAGAGTGATCATTTGCATGAAAATCGAGAGAAGAGTGTAAATGTGATGTATGTTTAAGAGTACAGAAACAACAATGTGTTCCTATGTTTCTGAGTGTTATTGATGAATTGATAATGTAGAGTGTTAATAATTTTTTAACTGATTGAAGAAATGCTTTCAGAATTTTGTTGTGTGAACAAATCAATAATGTGAAAATAACAGGCAATTTCTGTGATTTGAACCTCTGAGGGGTGACTGAGGGTCTGATTTCGGTCAGGAGCGCAATAACAGTGATTATTCGTTTAGCCCGGCTCCCAGGGAAGAGGGATGTTTTGAAAGGTAACTCTTAATGGGGAAACTATATTAAGAAGAGTGTTTAAACATCTCTAGTGTATTTGATGTGAGCAGAAACCTGTTAAATGATTAACCAGTGTGATTTTAGAAATCAATTGAAAAATGAATTTAATAATGAGTTATCAATGAATGATAAAAAGAGAGGAATTGTAATGGAAATTCATTTTAGATAAACATGTGTAGTGGAAACTTACAGCAGAAACAGCGGAGCACCTGATGCACGTACAGAATGGGCCTTATTAGGATTTGACCTTGCAAGCAGTACAAACTAGATAGAACAGTGAACATACTTTGCTTCAGTGTCTCATTCTGTAGAAACTGTTGTCAGAATGGGCAGTATTAGGGTTTGACCTTGTAAGCAGTAAAAACCAGATAAAAGGGTGAACACACTTGACTTCAGTGTCTCACTCTGCAGAAACTGTTGTTGCTGTATGACTGTGACCTTCTTTGCAAAGAATAAAACTTTAAAAAGACATTCCGAGTAAGACTTTGTTTCTTGACCACAGAGAGCGCCTCTTTAAAGAAAATTGCCACTACAATATATATATATATATATATATATATATATATATATATAATTTTTTTATTTTTATTTTTTATTTTTTAAGTTAATTTAACTTGTAAATGTCTTCAATGTGTAACCACAATAAGACAATTATAGAGATGCACAAGATGCTTGTCTCCTCTGTTTTTAACTCCGTTCCTGCCTGCGCTCGGCTAATCTCGTTGATCACCGGCTGCAGCCATGGTTCAAATCGAATGCACCTATTCTTAATTTGAGGAGTGACATGATAATTTAGATCACATGATCAGACACGACTAAGCAGAGAGGGCACAGGAGATTAATATATTTTTGGTCAACCAAAGTCAATGATTTTTTTTTTGGCTGATACATGTATAAAAGACATCTCGAAGCAGTTCCTTCTACAGAAAGAAACTCTGTATTGCTTCCCTGATGACAGTAATTCAGACATTGGAAATAAAACATGACTTGGATCATTTGCTTTTACTTATGCAGTCCTAAAAGCCAACAAGTCATAGGTCAACTGAAGTGATGTATATTCTCTTTTCAAGACATGAAAGTTGTGCTTGTGATTGAACTGAAAGATTGCCTTCCAACTTGTAAACCTCCTAAAACTGCTTGATAAAGCAGCAACATGAGATTCTGACTTACTCCAAACAAGGAGTCTCTATTAAAAATGTCTATGTTGGAATTTTGAGCAGAGATTTTGCACTTTTTTATTCAATTAGATATTAGATATTCATGTTTAGTGACGCAGTGGCGCAGTAGGTAGTGCTGTCGCCTCACAGCAAGAAAGACGCTGGGTCGCATGTTCTCCCTGTGTTCGTGTGGGTTTCCTCCAGGTGCTCCGGTTTCCCCCACAGTCCAAAGACATGCTGTACAGTAGTGTGTGTGTGTGTGTGTGTGTGTGTGTGAATGAGTGTGTGTGGATGTTTCCCATAGATGGGTTGCGGCTGGAAGGGCATCCGCTGCATTAAAACGTGCTGGATAAGTTGGCGGTTCATTCCGCTGTGGCGACCCCGGATTAATAAAGGGACTAAGCCGAAAAGAAAATTAATGAATTAATAAATATTCATGTTTTGCGCTGTGGACTCTAATGGCAACTTGTCATACTGCCCATAGTAAACGTTCACTCTGACTTCATGTGGGAGAGGAGATTTAGCCATAAAAATTTTGTTTCTACCATTTTTTTTTTTTGCCACACAATAGTGTTCTTGGAGCTTTGTCCAATTACAGTTGAAATTAAATTATTTTATTTACTTTCATGAACATCACTGGAGGATGAGAGCTCTCGAATTTTATCTAAAATATCTTAATTTGTAACTCAAAGATGAATGAAGGTCTCTCGGGATTGGAATGACACGAAAGTGAATAATTAATAACTGACTAAGATTCTTAGATAGTCCAAAATAATAGTAAAATAATAGTCCAAATAATAGTTACAAGTTTAATAGATTTCTCTTTTCTAAAAGGCATTGTCTGTTCATAACTAAACATCACTTGACTAATGCAGTACCTTTGCATAAGGTAGATGGCCCAGAAAGCTGATTCTTCATCCAAATATCTTCATTAGCGCAGCAGCCTAAAGGCACTGTGGATAACTGTATTCTGCTGCAATCAGTCTTCATCTCAGGAGCCCATGATAAACTTCTGACACCTTGCAGTCTTGAGTTAAGAGTGTCTTCTGCAGGTTGTCGAATGTTGGTTTCAGATAAAACAGGTGAGGGTGCAATGGAAACCTTGATTAGTGCTGTGGCAAGCTTCTCTGATTGTCGCATGGTGGAAATCTCTTTGGTCTCCACAGCAGAATCTTTGGATGTTTGAAGAACAGGATAAGGCACAAACAGATTAAAAGACCTCTTGTAATACAAACTGTAACTGATGTGGTCCCACACAGAAGTTTTAGATGTAAAAATCGGAAGTGCTTTATGCTCTTTTGCTCCTGATATTAGATCAAACTCTTTATTCTGGCTTTTTGCACATCTTTCAATCTCCTCCAAGCATTTTACTCTTGTTTTTAGTTTTGGATTTTTAAACTCCACAATGCACTCACGTGGAACACTAGATGATTTTGCTGGCACAGATCCAGTGCTATTGATTTCACCCTTGGTGATGGACAGCTGCTCTGATAATTGCGCCATCTTTAGCTTCTTTTTGCCTCTAGTACTTTTTCCATTAGTTTGAGACGTTCCCTGATCTGGTCCTTTGGAGATCTCACAAAAGCTTTTATCTCCTGCATGCTCTGATAATGAGGTTGGTTTGCTCGGCTTCTGTGAGTCTGGCACTAACAGCTGTAATCTCTCAAGTTCCTTCTGTCTTTTAGCCAGCCATTTGCTTTTAGGCCTCTCCGTGTCCAGAGTTTCAGATGATGAGACTTTGACCTTAGTAGACGAGAGAGGACTTTCTGCATTGTGAAGATCTCCTTTCCTCCTGCTTTTGGAGGGTTGCGTCTCATTAAAGATGACAACATTTGTCTCCGCCGCTGCTGTCTTTTTAAGGATCTTCTGTCTAGAACTGGTTGCGCTTAATTCTTTGGGTGCTTGAATGCTTTTTTGGGATTGAGCAGCTGGTGCCATTTTGCAGTGAGGGATGTGAGTTTTCAGCCTCTTGAAAGGCTTTCCACAATACGGACATTGTTCTGTAAGGGAAAAGAATCAGAACTGCATGAACAAGGTTGAAATCAAGGTCAGTGATTTGCTTGTAACTACCACACACTTTAATAATGCCATCTAAATGAGCTATTACGAGCAGTTTTCTGTATGCTGCTTTGACTAGCGATACATCTTCTATAATTGCCTCACTGTTTAATGGCCTGTTTCCACTGAGTGGTTTCCAATGTCAAAAGGTACAAAAATGCGAACTGTACCGTACCACTTTTTGGGTACCAAGCACAACAAAAGGGTACCAAAAGACGGAGCAAGGTTCGCAACTGAACGCTATTTGTTTACAGAGATACGTCACTAGCTCATGCTCAAGCCAGGAGAATGAAAACTAAATAAGTGCCATTTTTAAAAACGCAGCTGAGACAATACAGTAATAATATATACATATAATAACAAGAAGAGCAGAATCTACCCTGTGCCTCGTTGTTGTTTACAAGGCCATCTAAAGCGCAAGCAATTTCGCTTTCTCGTGTGCTCTCGCCACATGCCTATATTTGAAATAATGAACTTTTTGAGCTGATGATAATAACTTGTGCATGATTATTGAAGTGCTTCTGACATCCGATCCTGTTAGAAACGGACAAACAAGGAGAAACCGGAAAAAACAAAGGAGCGAATGATTGTTTTAGCAACCTAAAATATGAGCAAACTGCCATGTTTAACTATTATCATCACCTTTTGAACTATTATGAACTCGGGAATGACGGAATTACTTTCCAACAGAGGTTACATGTGCTGGTGAAGATTAAAGATACAGATGAGAGGTTTGCACTGACTGGGCTATATGTTACGTGTTGTTTTTGAATCCAAATAAGGACTAAATGTATTATGTGTGAAGTTTTTCTGTAATTGGTAACATATCGGAGACTGTAAGGGGCTGTATGTGTTCATATATGTTGCAATTATTTATTTTATGTAATCGCAGACGTTACAGTAGGCTATTTCACACAGATCTTTGATCTACCATCAATCAAATCCTGTTCATAGAAAGGTTAGTGATGAACATTTATACACAAGTATTTATGTGTTTAAAGCATTTGTTTGGTAAGAAGTGCCTCTCATATGATATGTGAATGACCCGTACAGCCTTACTTTGACATTTCCTCGAGCAAGAATGACGTCAAGCGAAACTTTCTGCCGTACACCACGTCCACTATTGGTACCCTTTTGTCAGTGGAAACACAAGCCTGATGAAGATGACCAGTACTGTACCATTCAGTGGAAACGGGCCATAAAGTTCCCACTCTAAGCCAAATTACTTTTCATTGACTAAAACTTCATTCAGAGTTTGAACTCTCAGTAATGATTAAATCACACTGAACTGAGCTAAACGGAACTGAACTGAACTTAAACACTAAAACCTGAACCACACTGTTCCAGTTACTATGACCATTTATGTGAAGCTGCTTTGACACAATCTACATTGTAAAAGCGCTATACAAATAAAGCTGAATTGAATTGATTAAAACGTTAAATTCCCTGACCTATTGACTTTATTTTACATCTAAAAGCAGTACAGCCATTATAACTCAAATGTTTCAAGACTTCTGGTTTCATTTACTACCCCGCATTTTTAGCAAAACAAAACAACTTCAGCTGTTTGATACTGTATAAATTACATTTTTGTTTAATATTGGTTTAATATATTTAATTGCCAGTTGACAGGCAGGAAAGGACTAAACTGACATGAAAAAGACAAACCATAACAATAAGCAAAACACATGAAAAAAAAAACACAATTAAAAAACATTATTGTAAAATTACATTTTAATAAATTCATTCATTCATTTTTTGCTTAGTCCCTTTATTATTCAGGGGTCTCCACAGCGAAATGAATCGGCAACTTATCCAGCATATGTTTTACGCAGCGGATTCCCTTTCAGCTGCAACCCATCACTGGGAAATATCCATACACACTCATTCATACACATACACTATAGACAATTTTAGCATACCCAATTCACCTATAGCACATGTATTTGGACTTGTGAGGGAAACCGGAGCACCCGGAGGAAATGCATGCGAACACGGGGAGAACATGCAAACTCCAAACAGAAATGCCAACTGACCTAACAGAGGCTTAAACCAGCGACCTTCTTGCTGTGAGGCGATTGTGTTACCCACTGTGCCACCACACCGCCCATTTTAATAAATGTAGAGTTAAATTTAAAACAACGAACAAACATCCATGATATTTTATGACTTGAAAAATAAAAAAAAAATTTAAAAAATAAAATTCCCTCACTTTTAATATCTGGAATAGAGTGTGGAAAATTCCAGAAAATTTCATAACCAGTGGGAACTCGAGTGTTGTCCACTGCAGATCAAATGTTTCACACTTTTCACAGAAATATACAGTTTTGCATATTATATCCCTCAATATAAAAATTAATTCTCTCTAAAACTAGAGACCTATTTAACCAGTTTTATAAATTGTACTATTTTAAATGTAACTTCTATTACTTTATTATTTAAACAACATATTTCACAAGAACTCATAAATAACTCATTCATAAATACACTGGTCCATGTTAAAGTTTTTATATATAACTGTATCATCTGTTATAATGTTTCTAATGTCAAAGTTCTGGAAATAAAGTACTCTCAGTGACCCGTTGGGATAGCCTAAATATTGACGTCAAACTTGAAAATAAAATTGAAGATACAAAATTTAGGATTGATTCGTACAATCCAAATGAACTTAAATATATTATTTAATGTAAAATTATAAATATTTTTAATGAACATATAGGCCATTATCAGTACATCTTCACATTTCAGGTGTAAAAAAGCAACAAACTATGTTCAGTGCTCAGCATAATTGAGTACACACCATTTTGAAAAAGAATATTTGCATCCATTTCTCAGTGAATATAGGCAATGTATTTTGGTGCATTTAAATAAAACAGGTTTATTAAACAGATATATTTATTCAAATCATATTTTAGTCACCAAACATATTTAGAAATTGAAAGATAAAACGATTAAATTCAAGCAAAATATTGCAAAAAATTAAGTACAACCAACAAAATTTCTACAAATTTTTTCCATTTTTAGCTTCTCTTGATTTTTCCTCTTTTTAAAATTTGTATTTAATATTATTTCTAAAACATATAAATGTGGTTGTACTAGCTTTATGACCGATGTTGAAAGTTATTTTGTTAGATAAGCTCCAGATTTGGCTTCAGTACGGAGTAATCTAATGTATATGCACAAATATAATATTGTATAGCTTCCTATTATTATTATTATACATTTATGCTAAAACGTTGGGTAAGGAAATGTTTCATATTTTAAACAGACCTAAAAATTTCACATACTCATGTGCTTTGAACTGTGTCTTAAATACTATAAGCAGAATGTTTCAGCATTTGTAGGGAAACATGTCTTGTTGACAGAAAAGAAACTATTGAAATGTGAAGAAGAGGTTTATTCTTACCTTTATTGCTGGAAGTATCCATTTTGTATAAACCTGATAGTATAGTACACTAGAGTCTCAATGTGAATAATAGCATTAAGAATGGGCAAGTGATTAACTAGATGAAGTGTGAAAAAACTAATTTTACCAGTAAAGTTACAGTGGTATTACAGTAGAAATCCAAAACAAACATAAAGGGGACTTAAATCAAATATTTAGATGTACATGTATTTAGATATTACTTACCTATGCTCATATTTTATGATTATACTGCCATGTTTTTATGGAATAGGGAAAAGTCTTTTCCCGGGTATATTTAAGTCATTATTAAAGCTGTTTCAAGTAGCCAAATATAAACCGGCCACAAAAAAAAAAAAAAAAATCTGTATTATATTTTAGCCAGCTCGTTTGCCCACATGTAAAAAACTTGCCGTTTGTTGTTATCATGGGACAGGCGCAGTAAACGATCCCACTAACCGCTAGAGGACATGCTGGATTATTTTGAGTCACGAAAGACCCGTTTAGCCGTCTTTATAATTGCCTGTGTGGAAGTACTTGCAGGCGTGACATTCCAGCAAAATCAATTACACAACTTTTCATCACTACAGTATCGACTCTTACTTGTTGTATTGTAAAGAGTTATTTTTATAATAACGAATAATAACACAGTATGTATTTTGGTCATAAATTTTGAAAATACCCAAAAGAAGAAGGCTTTTTTAATCCTCATTATTTACAGACATTTATAAACAAATTCTGACTGAGGAAGCTGGCCAGTTTGTTATTTTACTATAGGCTTTTTAATTTAAAATAAGTTTTAACAGATTCCTAATAAGGGTTTTTATGATGTTTGTTTTTTATGAGAATGAAAATAAAAAGCATTTAAAAAATAAGTATTTTTTCATATTTCTAAAATTCTAATCTCTTTACCCCTGCTGAAAAAGACTGCTGAACCATTGGCTGCTTGGCTGGTTTTAGCTGGCCAACTGGGCTGGTTTTAGAGGGGTTTCCAGCCATTTATTGCCTGGTTCTAACTAAAACCAGCTTGACCAGCCTCGCCAGGCTGGGAGCCCAGAAAAAAAACAGCTATGTTCAGCTATAACCAGGCTGGTCAAATTGGTTTTAGCTGGCCATTTTCCAGCCTGACCAGTTAAAACCATGCTAGAAATGGCTGGAAACCAGACTGGAAATGGCAAAAGCCCCTTTAAAACCAGGTTGGTGGACCAGATAAAACCAGCCAACCAGCTTAGGCATTTGTAAATAAATATACATTTCTGTGAACATAAAACGGTAAGCACTTTGACAAAAATGAAGGAAATATTTTTGTTACATCAAAAAGTTTAATGATAACCATCCGGCAAGCAAATCCAGCTAAAAATAGTGCTTAAAATGTCACTATGCAGTATTTTAACCTGATAATTAAATAGAAAATGAGGCAAATAACTGTACAAAGGTCCACTTTTTGAGAACACCACTTTTATTAGGCTGGCTACGGCCCATCAAAGTTCTGGAAATAAAATTTTCTCAGTGACTCATTGGGATGGGCTCTATATTGATGTCAAACCTGAAAACAATTTACAATCAGAAATTACGGAATAATTTGTATAATCCAAATGACCTTAAATATATTATTTAATGTAAAAGTATAAAGATTTTTTTATTGATAATACAGTAATGTACAACAACTTGCCATCATTAGTACATCTTTGCATAACAATAAAAAACAGGTGCAAAAAAGCAACTATATAATAATAATCATATTCAGTTATATTATATATGAATAACTATATTATATATAAATAATATTACATAAAGATAAGGGTCATAACATTCGTTGCCATTTCAGAGCAGTAACTGTCCCTAATATTTTTTTTTAATTTTCCAAGATTTTTATAATTTTAGATAAAAGAGTAGCCTAATTGAATCATAAGAAAAATATATTTGTCCAGCTCAGGATATTACGGTTAAGGATTTTTTACTGAATTTTCACATGTAACAGAGACCAAATATCCTCGTAACCAAACATTTTCGTATCTTTAATAGGTGTTTAAAATAAAATAAGTTACTGTAATATTTACATTTTCTAAGGGTTAAAATGTCCATCACTTTACCATGCAATATTATTTTTAACGGGAATACTTTTAACGCAAGGCAAGTTTATTTATATAGGCCTAGCACATTTCATACACAATGGCAATTCAAAGTGCTTTACAGAAACAATAATAAAAAAAAAACAAGAAGATAAAAACGATTAAGGTAATTAAAATGATTAAAACAGATTTAAATTAGTTAAAACGGGTTATCAAAGAATGAAAAATAAAAAAAGACATAACAGTATTGCGATTTGTCAGACGAAGCACGAAGCGCATGGCAAAGACAGCTAAACTGATAGTAAAATTAAATAATTAAATACAAAAATAGTACAATAAAGGGAGCAATGTTATTTTCATTTAGTTTATATTTTTATATAAAAGTCAGAAGTTTAATCGCACTTTTGTTTTCATTAACGTTACCTTCAAGGCTTTCATATAAGAATGAATTTCATTTTAAAATGCAAAAAAATGTCCCTTAAAATATTTAGATTTGTGTATGTAGAAATCTACCACGCACAAGGATGTTGTTGATTAACAACTCAGTCAGAAGATTAAAAATAAAACGCTACGTGCGAATGTACGCCACTCCTCACGCAACGCCACGCACGTTACGTCATTATGACAGCAACAGATGGAAGAGCGAGTGAGCGAGAAAGAGAGAGAGAGAATGAGATCCGGCGAGATGGAGACGCTGTAACTTCAGAAAATGCCTGAACTCAAGCTCCATCTGTGAACAGACAGAGGTAGAGTACACCACAAACCCTTAGTCTCTTCACAAACCCCATTTATTCCGTTAAATCACTTCGCATGTTCTGTAGTATGAACAGTTGATCGCTAGGAGGAAGTAAAGTGAACTACACACATAGCATTGTGCTATCTGCCTTTCTGCTTGACATTTTCAACGCACTGTTTTTGCATGGCAACATTATTATCACACTGGGGCTTGTGTAAATGTGCCCTTTTGACTCCTGTCACAAAGAATTACATGTCGTTCACATTAATATAACACCGATAATATGGTTGCCATTTCGTTCGGTTTCACTATCGTTACTATGCTATACAGATCACTGTTCTAGTATGACTATAACATATTAGTGTGTTTTACGAATACATATTTACCTTACCTGATGATGTTTGAAGGCCTGAATTGATAGACGTTAATATTACGCTTTCTGCATACCTGCACTGCAATGCAAGCGTGTCTGCAGCTCCTCACACTGAATTATATTTGTCATTCGCTCATCATTAGGGGAAAACCTTGGCAAATCCCTTCATTTTGCTGGAAGGAAGCCGGTGTTCTGGTCATTGAGACGGAGTGGTGCTGTGTGTGCGCCCTTATTTGGCTGTCAAATGCACAGATCCGACATGCTGACAGAAAGCAGGTAACATTATTGTGTATGCACGTATGTTGCATTTATGTAACAGATATGCAATAGGCATCCATGTGGCATGTTATTGTCAGTGCATGCAGATTTAGCATAGTACTTCATTGCCTGCCGGTTATTTTTAGGTGTTCCTTTAGCAGGCTGATCCTCTTGACTAGCTGCTATATTGGTTAAATGAGTCTGTGCTGTTATCCAGCAGTATCAGCTCTCCTCTTGATGGTATTTTTTTAATTCCTAAATCTGAGTCATAATCCTGCAGTGGACGTATTGATGACTAATGGTTGCAATCAAGTCTGCAGTGCCACCATTTCTTGAGAAATGGCAAGATATGTGTCTGGACGTTGCATGCCGAATGAACACACTCAAAGGTGATGGTCTTTGTCAACAGAAAACGCAGACGAGGCTGTGATGCCGAGGAGCTGCAGGTCCTGCCCCAGCCAAAGAGGTCTGGAGGTTATTCCTTTCTCCCCGAGGTTGGCCATGATGTCTGGGACTCTGAGGTAAGAAGACAAAACACTTGGTTTAAATGCTGCTTTCATTCAAGATCAGGCTCATTTTAAAATGTCAAAAGGTTAAATAGTAGATAAAGAGACTAACATTGCAGTTCGCAGTCAATTTACCTTCAGGCTGCCCAATGTCTTGGTGATTTTTTTTCTGCTGTAGAACATAAAAGAAGATTTTTAGCTAAAACAATCATCCTTGGTGATTCATAAAATAGATACCAATGTTTAAAGCAGGGGTCACCAACAACAGGTCACACGCGAGTATCATGAGTTGCCTGCAGGCCTGTTTCAAAAAATAGTTCACCATGGCACCACTTTCCAGTAAGCTGGATCTAATATTGTTTGTAAGCATTCTTTTTAAATCACACTTGTAAATTTAAAAAATGACAATTAGTTATTATTGTGTATTATACTGTATACTGTATACATATAAAATATTTTATAATAGATCAGAGCTAGCTGGTCTCCACAGAAATGGTTGCGGGCACCAAGAAATCTGCTAGTGGGCGCAGTAAAGTGGAGATGATTTACCCCCAAAAACATGGCAGAAAAAAGAAAGAAAATGTATCATTGTCACAGTGAATGGGAGGAAGCGTTTTCTTTTAACTTTATTTGGGGGGTGACTTTGGTGACAGCAAAGTGGCACAATGTTGAGAGACATTTCAGAATGTGTCATGCAACTACCCACCGGGTAGAAACGCAGGGCGCTTAAAGATGAGAACGGAGGTAATCTCCACTCTCTCCAATGTCCAACTCGAGGCAACTACAATGGTTAGAAGAGCGTCGGCTACGTTAAAATTCTGTACATTTGGTGATAAATTTAGTAAAATCTGAAAGTTGATTTATGTTACGCAATTGATAATCTGTTCAAACATGGTACAACGTAGTGGTAAAAATTGTTAGTGGCTTGAGAAAATATTGTAGAAGTAATAATTTGAAAATGTAAATACTTGCAGAGATTTATAGAAATAAAGTGTTGCATATTTATATTTATCTGTTTTTTACCTTGTTAAATCATTGTTGACAACTATTGAGATAATCATTAACATGATCAGTGTCTCCACATACATGAATATCATTAATTATTAATAATAACACAATTAAAAGTGAATTGAGAAAATTTGTTATTTGAGAAGTGTGTATCAAACTGGTAGCCCTTCACATTATTCTGTACCCAAGAAGTAGCTCTCTGTTTTAAAAGGGTTGGTGACCCCTGGTTTATAGCGTCTTTGAGTGTCAAAAAAACAGAGGCAGATTAAAATTAAACCCTGTGGCTATTGATGATACCTTGAGGTATAAAGCAAAATGATTTGTCTGTGCAAGAGAGTGAAAATTATTGACATTATTACCTGTAATGCTTTGTCAAGTGGTTCTGAGCATGATCTTGAGTCTGGAATGCAAGCTGTTGTAAATCAAATGTGAATCTTTCGGCAGTCTTTGTTGTCATATAGACATCCAGAAGGAATTGTAAGGGTGTTTTTACATTGGCCTGCTTTTTTTTGGCAAAAGCAAACTTGGTGTTCATGCAGTTCATTTGAATATATGAAATAGTATTTTGGTTACATTATGAGCCCAGTCCACAATTTTAAAGGACAGATCAGCCGGAAATGAAAACTCTCCCAAACAGTGGTCTCACGCCTTTAAAAGCCACCGTGGTCAGTTTGTTTCAGCTTTGTGTTCTGAGGCGCAAACAATTAATTATAAAAATAAGGAACCATTTTTTTTTCATAATTGACACCAGGAAGCGACAGTTTTGTTATCTTTAACTAATTGGATGGAAACATTGCTTTATTTGCAAATGCTTCATGCCATATTCTAGTTTTTGAAGTTAAATTCGCATTTTTGAAAAAAGCTACTTAACCTGCAATTGTTTTAAACTTGTTTGAGTACACAAACAAACACAAAAGAAGATCTATTGAAGAAATCATGCAAATTTAGAGCCCCCTGAGTGTGAGTAAATGGTAAAGAAATGTCCAATTTTGGATTAACTTTCCCTTTAAGACAAACATGGACAATCACCACATTACAGGATGTCAGTTCTCAGATAATCCATCACTTGTGCAATTAGCGAAGTGAGGTCCAAAAGATGCCACCAGACACAGGCAGGGGTAACACCCTGTCTGACAAAACCTGATAAAGTGTCTGATGCCGTCTATCTGTGAACTGTAATGTCCAAAACAGGGGTCCCATCCTGGAGATCAACCTTCCTGCAGAGTTCAAAAACATCTAAACCAGTGGTGCCCGAACTTGATCTCAGAGGGCCGGTGTCCTGCATAGTTTAGGTCTTCAATACACCTGCCTGGATGTTTCTAGTATACTTAAAAAGAGCTTGATTTGCTGATTTAGGCATATCTAATTGGGGTTGGAACTAAACTCAGCAGTACACCGGACCTCCAGGGCAAGTTTGGGCACTCCTGATTTAAACCAACTAGATCAGAAGTGTCCAAACTCGGTCCTGGAGGGCAGATGTCCTGCATAGTTTAGCTCCGGCTTCCTTCAACAGACTTGCCTGGATGTTTCTAGTGTACCTAGAAAGAGCTCGATTTGCTGGTTCAAGTGGGTCTAATTGGGGTTAAACTAAACTCTGCTGAACACTGGCCCTCCAGTACCGAGTTTGGGCACCGCTGATCTAAACCAACTAGTACAGAAGTGTCCGAACTCGGTCATGGAGGGCCGGTGTCCTGCATAGATTAGCTCCAAAATCCTTCAACACACCTGCCTGGAAGTTTCAAGTATACCTAGAAAAAGCTTGATTAGCTGGTTCAGATGTGTCCACTGTCCAATTGGGGTTAAACTAAACTCTGCAGGACACTGGCCTTCCAGGATCGAATTTTGGCACCCCTGATCTAAACCAACTAGTACAGGAGTGTTCAAACTCAGTCCTGGAGGGCAGGTGTCCTGCATTGTTTAGCTCCAACTTCCTTCAACACACCTGCTTGAAAGTTTTTAGTATACCTAGAAAGAGCTTGATTGCTGTCGTCCTCACACTCAGTCCTTTATCTCCCTTCAGTCATCCAGCAGTGACAGCAGTGGGATCAGCAGTCCGGAGCAGATGGCAGGAGCCACGTCCAGCATCCAGAAGCCTGACCAAAGAGGAATCTATATTTCCCAGGCTCCCTGCAGCCCTGGCATCGCAGTAGAAGAACCGGCCGTCTCCTTGAGCCACAGCATCTCATACGATCACATCAACCGCATCTTGAGGGAGGCTCACTTCAGTAGCCTGCAAACCCGAGGTCAGCAAGCACCAACATGATCAACAGTGACTCTTCAAGCACCCGTTGGCATTAAGGAACAGTGTACAGGGGGCCACGCTTTATGGCCTGGCTGGCACACATAATAATGACCCCTATAAGTGCATTTTGTGTTCTTTCTTACAGCACTTTTCCATGTTCATAGTGTTTATGTGGGGCTCGACTTGATGTGTTGACCATGAACTTCACACAGGTGCTATATATAAAAAAAAAAAAAAGTCTTGGAAGATTATGTGCGCCTTTCCCCCTTTACTAGACACCCACACATGGTGCTACTGCAGTCCTGGGTTGTGTTTTACTCTGATACATGACATGCATTTGGCCATATTTTTTTCATTCTTTGGCCAGTCTAGATATGGTTAAGAATTGAAGAACTGAAGTCTAGATTCTATCGGTGGCTCTAGAGAGTCATTGCAGGTGGATTAATAATGCTGTTGACGTTTACAGAAGATGATGGTTTGATTGAATTGGAGGTATTTGATGGCGTACATATCGAAAACTCAGGGCTAAAGGATTTCTATGTGTGCCATTAAAGTTCAGACTTTAAATGAGGAACTTGGTGCCAGATCCTTAGAAATTTTCTATAGTGTAGTCTCTCTTTACCTTAGAAGACAAACAGCTTACTAGCATATTACACTAGAGAGAGACTATTCTGGAAATGCATGATGGATTCAGGTCTATTAATGTACAGCGAAAGCACTATGAATCGTGTGTAAATCCAGAGTGCAAATTGAAAGCCATGTCTGATTATTTAGAAGTTTTGTTTTCGAATGCTCTAGTTTAGTCAGTCCATGTGTTGCCTGTAATACGAGGACTCGTCTTGTATGGGCTCACAGGGAATGAACCAAAATTAGCTTGCAACTAACTAAGCACTCTGCAGTGTCAGGTTGATGATGTAGATCAGGGGTGCCCATACTCGGTCCTGGAGGTCCTGCAAAGTTTAATTTCAACCCCAAACAGACACACCTGGGCTGGCTAATTAAGCTCTTAATAGGCTTTCCTGAAACACCCGTGCAGGTGTGTTGAAGCAAGTTGGAGCTAAAATTTGCAGGAAACCGGCCCTCCAGGACCGTGTTTAGGCACCCCTGATGTAGATCACAGTTCTCAAACTTGATTCCTGGAGGGCCGCAGCTCTACAGTTTTGCTCCAATCCTAATCAAACACCGCTGGGCCAATTAATCAAGGGGATCAAGACTACTAGAGGTTATTAAGCAGGTGTGAGTTGGAGGTGGTTGGAGCTAAACTATGCAGAATTGTGGCTCTCCAGGAATTGAGTTTGAGACCATTGACGTAGATATTTCGCATAAAATGTCCCACTTATGTCTGTTGACAGTAAACAGCTACAAAAAATTAAGTAGGAGACCACTTAAATTCTCTGGATTTATGATTTAAAGTTGTGTTTGAGTAAACATATTTTGTTTTTCAACTACTGATTGCATTTGTTCCAAAATTAAAATGCAAATTTTGTAGTTTATAACATTTTGAGTGTTATATTTTCATTCATCCATAAACAAATCCAATGTTTTAATAAAATTTTTAATTCAAGAGTTAAGAAATGAATTAAGGATGCTCTGATTGATTGGCCGAAGATTGGTATCGGCCGATAATCACATTTAATAAGTCGATCGTTACTCGCTAATCTCATAAACCAATCGTAGGGGTTTGTTTATGATTTTACAAGCAGAAGAAGTCGCACTTGTGCTCCCGTATATTACACACAGCCTACAGCAGCCACAACACGCGAGAAGGTAAATGATGTGTGGAGGCGTGATCGATCAATGCGCTCTTATCACAATACTTAAAATATATACAGATATGGTGTGACCTCTGTAAATACATTCTATTGGCATAACTCGCGTGAGTGATGGTCTCTTTGTTGCATTGTTTTTACTGTGTTTTGAGCTGCTGTGACACGAGCGGAGCGATTGTTTGTAATATTTCTTTCCAATTTTTATATCAGTATTATATTATTTTCTTTAAAGCTGCTTCTGGCCATGATATGTTCACACCTAAATGGGTAAAATAGATGTATGTAAGAGATAAAATACAACATCCTTAATTTACACTCTTAGGTAACATCACCATGACAAGGAATCGGTAGTCTGTATCGGCTGCAAAATCCTGATTGGAGCAACTCTAAAATCAATATTTGGATGACTAAAAATTACACCTACACTCAAAAAATGACTTTTTGACCCAACACAATTGTTAAGTTGTTTTGAGGGGATAATTTATTTATGTTCAATCCACTTAAAATTGTCAAAACGATTAAGTTTACTGATTTGTGTTGGGACAATATGAAGGAATTGTGTGGATCTCAGCATTTTTATAATGTATTTTCAGTCACAGCAAATTAAAAAACATTTAACAATTAAAAACTTTGACCATTTTAAGACTGAAATGCTCTACTTTAATTTAAAAAAATTACAAGAATTGTTTTCAGAGACGTATAAAACAAAACTATTTACTTTTTACTCAAATTCATGCTTAATAAATCCAGAGAATTGTATTATATTTTTCCCATAGCTATACACATATAATGGCTTAATTCATTTCAGAGTGGTGAAACAAACAAGAATGGTTGGTATGCACAAAAATTTAGAAACAAAATTTCAGCTTAGCCCAAACAGATTGTAAGAGGACAGTTACATCATTTCAAGCAGGGGATCTAAACATCTACAATACACTTTCATCTCCTCAGTGCACAATACTGTACAACCAGGCACTGTGCTTTGTGTGAAAGAGCTTGATGATGAAAATTGTCCATGCGGTCATTATTGTTTTGTATTTAGGACTGTACATAATATATAGCTAGCATATATACAATATTTGAAATCGCTGTTATTTTATCAAATGTTCCTCTAATGTAAATAAAAAAAAATAAAGTTTTTATTTAAAAATTTATTGGCCAACTTTTTTGTTCATAACATTTCTCACACTCACAATTCTTTATATATTTGACCACATAGTTTTCGGCACGATGTATCTTGATCAGCTATATGATTGAGTGTTAATGTTTGTTCTTTTTTTATAACACACACAGGAAGACAGAAGTGCTTTCAGTAAGAAGAAAGATTGTAGTGCAAATAGTAGCAGCCACTGCAGTAACACTCATGGTTTCAACACCAAACTGGAGTTGCTTTTCCAATCTTATCTCAGTGAATTCATAATGAATTAAGAGACGTACCTTTGCTGATCAAGACACTATTCGCAATCTGAACTCTTCATGGGAACCTTTAGCAGCATTTAGACAGTGTGTAAAGAGTAAGTTGCAGATCTCCACGAGTACTGGTTAAAACCATGACCACATTTACGTGCACAATTTCTGTTCATTAAAAAAAAAAATTCCTCAAAAGCAGCTGGGATATTTTTGTATGTAGTCATAAAATCAAAACGATGCTTTAAAGTTTTGGGGTTGGTTATTTTTAATTCTTATAATTTTACATAAGTTGAATATATTTAAAAATATTATTTATTCATATAATGACAAGGATGATATTTTCAGCAGTGTTACTTAGGGTCTTCAGTGTCAATTTAGAACAGTGCACGTTTTAACAATTGACTAGGGTTTAGACTATTTTTGTGGGTCTATGTGTTGTGACATGTAATATATATATATATATATATATATATATATATATATATATATATATATATATATATATATATATTTTTTTTTTTTTTTTTTTTTTTGTAACCAGGACTCCCTGGTAGAAGAGATATTGTTTCTCGATAGGACATTCCTTGTTAAACAATTAAATAAAATAAAAAAAAGAAACCTTTCTTGTTCCCAAATTTTGAAAAAAGTCCCGCTTGATTTTGGTCAATGAAACATTTACTTGAAATAGACATCTTTAGTAACAATTTAAATATGTTTAATGTGTGTTTAATGTTTACCTTCATCCTTAATGCATTAGTCAGAATTATTAGCCCCCCTGTATATTTTTAATTAAATACTTTTTAACAGAGAGAATATTTTTCTCAACACATTTCTAAACATAATAGTTTTAATAACTCATCTCTAATAACTGATTTATTTTATCTTTGCCATGATGACAGTACATAATATGACTAGATATATTTCAAGATACTTCTATACAGTGTAGTGATATTTAAAGGCTTAACTAGGTTAATCAGGTTAACTAGTCAGGTTAGGGTAATCGGGTAAGTTATTGTATAATCATGGTTTGTGCTGTAGACCATCGAACAAATCTAGCTTAAAGGGGCTAATAATTTTGACCTTAAAATGTTTTTTAAAAATTTAAAAACTGCTTTTATTCTAGCCTAAATAAAATAAATAAGACTTTCTCCAGAAGATAAAATATTATCAAACAAACTGTGAAAATTTCTTTGCTCTATTAAACATTTGGAAAATATTAAAAAAGGGGGAAAAAAATCAATTGTGTATATATATGTATAAATTAAATAAATAAATATATAAATTATATATATATATATATATATATATATATATATATAAATATATATATATAAATAAATATAATAAAAATAATATTTATTTTAATAATAATTATTAATAAAAGCATAAAGGCTATTATAAAGGCACACTGAATCCGAAATCTTCATCTGTTATTTTTGCACGTTAAAAAATAAATTCGACCTCACCTTCTGTTAATCGTACTGACACACTGCCTCCGAAACGTTCGTCCTACATAAAAAATTCAAACAGGTTTAGATCTTTTTTTTCTTCCACTTTTCGCGTCCGGAAAAGCGATTTCAGAGATGTTTTAACAGTTCAGAGCCACTGTACAAGCGAAAAACTAAATACAGAATGCCGTCTTTTGAGCTACAGATATCTTTATGACAAACGCAGAGCATAAAATAAAGACAAAATGTGGCGGACAGAATATGAAAACCCCAAAATGCTGGATTCAGTAACTGGCGCGTCTCTCCCCTGCTGCTGCTTGGTGTGTGTGTGTCTATGACACATCAACACCAACTATTATAAATGAATATAGGTACTGCTAGTCTCTGTTCAGCATTTATTTGTACGTACGTGAATGTGTGAAGTATCACAAGCAATGTATCAAAATTCCACTCATTTCCTGAAATAAACTTTGCATTTTGGGAAAATTGTAGTGCAGCTCTTTGATGAGGAGGAGAACTCTCCTTCCTCTCTATGTAGGCTAATATTAAATGAACACAGTATGTAGTCTATTCTTCTTTCTTTTTCTACTTTGGAGAAGAGAGAAGAGAACAAACTATCACTTCTTGAATTGACTGTGAAATGTACATGTTTTTGATGGGTAAATTAATACGCATTGAGCTCAGTGAACAAGGTTTATGAACGTGACAAATTTTACGCATATAAATAGGAAAAAATGCATCAGAAAATTTCAGACTTCAGTGTGCAAAGACATTAAGTCAGAAGACTATTTAAATGTCTGGAAACCAGATGACTGGTTACTAGAGAGAAAAAAAAGCTGATCATGGCAACCAAATTAAAATTGTGCATTTAAATGTGGTCACTTTCATCCATTTTTTTAATAACTTATCATATTCACTAATCGCATTTCATTGAAAAAGTTCTTCCATTCAGTATTTATGATGCCGTGTAAGAAGAGGTCACTCATAGGCTGAATGAGGTGAACAGAAACCGTAGATCAGAGATTGAGGAAGGAGAAGGCAGACAGTTGTTCAGCAGATGTGGACGATCCTGCAGTTCTTTTCTCCAGTGCACAGTCTGTGTCAGTAGTGGCTTCTCCACAGGGCTGGGCATCAACCGGAACAGGCTCCACCAAACAGACTGGTTTACTTCTGTTTACGAGCTCCATCCCACTGAAGAGCGACAGTCTGGATGGATCTGAGCTTTTTGAGGTGTCTGTGTTTCTGTGTTCGCCCTCTTCTTGTTCCCTGTTCATATGAGACCCTGGTGCAGTGCTGTTACCTTGTGTAAATGCCATCTCTGATGGGATGACAGGGGTTGTGGGTTCTCCGGTTTGTCCTGAAATGAAGGGGATGGTGATGGATGTAGAGGGCTGATCTGAAGACGACAGGTTGGTGGAGGATGAACGTCCAATTCGGTCAAATCTGGGGTTCGTGACACAGCCAAGCAACGCCTCAAACTGCCTTAGGAGCTAGTTAAACAAAAAAAATAAATCTGTTAGTATTTTATTATGACTATTGTGATTATTAGTAAACTTTAGCCTCTAACAACACATTCAAAGATATTCATTAGAACATTCATAGATTCTCCAGTCAAATTTGTTTTTAATTAATGAAATGCATGAAACCTTCAGTTGAAGTCACCTGAATTATTAGCCCCCCTGTTTATTTTTTTCTCCAATTTCTGTTTGATGGAGAGAAGATTTTTCTAAACACAAGGGGCTAATAATTTTGTCCCTAAAACGGTGTTTAAAAAATTAAAAACTACTTTTATTCTAGCCGAAATAAAAAACAAAGACTTTCTCCAGAAGAAAAAATATTGTCAGACATACTGTGAAAATTTCCTTGTTCTGTTAAATACAATTTGGGAAATATTTAAAAAAGCAAAAGAAATTAAAGGGGGTTTAATAATTCGGATTTCAACTGTGTGTGTGTGTGTGTGTGTGTGTATATATATATATATATATATATATATATATATATATATATATATATATTCATTCATTCATTTTCTTTTCAGATGAATCCCTTTTATAATCAGTAATTGCCACAGCATGAACACAGGGAGAATATGCAAACTCCACACAGAAACGCCAACTGGCCCAGCCGGGGCTCAAATCAGCAACTTTCTTGCTGTGAGGCGATTGTGCTAACCACTGCACCACCGAGTTGACGCATATATACATGCACACACACACACACACACACACACACACACACACACACACACACACACACACACACACACACACACACACACACACACACACACACACACTGACTTTACTTTTTATTTATAAACATTCAATGTTTTATGTTGTGGTGATTGTCAACAGATACAAATAAAAAAAGAGAAAAAAAACTGTCCAAGAATTATGTTAAATATGGGGATAAGTATATTTTAGTTTTTGTACACTAATGTAATATACAAAAAGTATTTTGACAGCTAAAGGTGTTTCACACATAACCCAGATCCAAACCGACGCAAGCATGCAATATAAACCATTTCTAAAAATAAAATAGTTTTTAAATTCACACTTTTTTTGTATTTTTTTTGTCTTAATGGATTGTTTCCTTATGAAAACTATTTATTTTCTTTCTTATAAATTGTTTCCAGTCACAACAGCCCTGATAGTCACTTAATTATCATCGAATAGTCTGCTTCTTTCATTCGTTGGTTTTTGAGACATTACCTTGGTTGCCTTGTTGGCGACAGGCCCTGTAGTTCCTTCACTAAGCTGAGCGAGGCGTTTGTGAATGATATTAAAAATATGGTCTAGAGAGAGGAAGTCTGAAGACATCAGGCAGGCCAGAGCACACAGCGCCCTCTGCAGGAAGAAAACAGAAATGAGTTATGTTGTGCATCATCAATACAATTTTCCCACACAAACAGCCATTTATTTCAAACAGTATTCTCCGAATTAATGCAACAGGAAGCTTCACCATCTGGACGATCTGTGTGTGGTCTTGTAGTTTGCGAGAGAGAAGTTCAACAACAACCTCGCAGTTGAGAGTTGAGCACCTGAGAGAAGACAGAGGAGCAGAATGTTATTTAATCTAGCTAAGACATTACATGCATTACACTCCAAGTGTGTACTGTAGAGCAGTGTTTCCAAACCCTGTTCCTGAAAGCACACCAACAGCACATATTCTGGATTATATCCCTCTTATATAACTCATTCGTTGCAGGTTTTGTAGAATCTTCTAATGTTCTGGTGAGTTCATTCAGGTGTGTTTGATTAGGAAGAGTTTGAAAGTGTGTACTGTTACATGCCTACAGGCACAGGGTTGGCAAACACTGCTGTAGAGCCATGTTTGGCTACATTGATGCCAAAATCAAGAATATGTCTCATAATAAATGATTTACTCTTTGATGAAGTGCTGGCTCTCCTCTCTGGACAGGAAGACTTTGGATCCGCTGGTCAACTTGTTAATCAGTGCTGTCTCCTGACCACAGTCCCCCAGCTGAATGGCCTCCACACTGATACAAATCAACATACAGTTAAAGTCAGAATTATTAGCCCCCCGAATTATTAGCGCTCCTGTTTATTTTTTTCCCCAATTTCTGTTTAATGGAGGGAAGACTGTTTCAGCACATTTCTACGCATAATAGTTTTAAAACTTATTTCTAATAACTGATTTATTTTATCTTTGCCATAATGACAGTAAATAATATTTTACTAGAATTTTTTCAAGACACTTCTATACAGCTTAAAGTGACATTTAAAGGCTTAACTGGGTTATTAAGGTGAACTAGGCAGGTTAGGGTAATTAGGCAAGTTATTGTATAATGATGGTTTGTTCTGTAGATTATAAAAAAAAAAAAAAAATAGCTTAAAGGGGCTAATAATTTTGTCCCAAAATGTTTTTAAAAAAAATTAAAAACTGCTTTTATTCCAGCAGAAATAAAACAAATAAGACTTTCTCCAGAAGAAAAAATATTATCAGACATACTGTGAAAATTTCATTGCTCTGTTAAAAATAATTTGAGAAATATTAAAAAAAGAGAAAAAAAAAATCAAAAGGGGGCTAATAATTTTGACTTCAACTGTACATTTATGAAAATTAAGTCCAAGTTAAAACCTCATTCTCATTAGCATAATGTGAAAAAATTGTATATTATGTACACTACTGTTTAAAGGTTTGGGCCAATGTAGGATTGTGTTGTCTTTCTTTTAGAAAATAAAAGAAATGAGTTTGCCTCGACCCAACTTCCACTCTTAAAAGCGTGTTGATGCTCATTTCCCAAAAGAGCTGAATTATGAGAGATAAGAGAAACCAAAAGCTTCTTGTCTCTGCATTGTAAGAGGTAATTACATCTAGACCAAATGGTAACAATTGTAGAATGGGAATGGATATGTGGCCTAATTTTTTTTTTTCTTACAGAAAGATGTCCTTTTATTAGCAAAAACATTAAATTGATTAAAATTTTAAAAACATTTATAACGTTATAAATACATTCTATTTTAAACGAAAGGCTATCATCTGCACTTTTTAAGCATCATGAAATATTAAAACGTAGTGACTCATGAAGCTTCAAAATCTTTACAAGTTTTTAGTTTCAAATTAGTGGTTCGGAGCAGACGGGGCTTTAAAAAATAATTAAAGACATGATGGTAACGACCAAAGAAATCCATATATGCAAAGAAAACAAAACTAACTTGTTTACAAATTAAGTTGTATAATAAAATTAAATCACGCAGAGAAAAAGTATTGAACACTTGAAGAAAGGGAGGTGTAGAAAAAGAGAGTGAAAGCCCTAGTGGAAGTCTATGCAATGTCCTCACTAATAAAGGGTTTCTGCAGGTTTCACAAAAAAAAAAAATTAAGGCTTTTTAAGACCCAAAGAATGAAATTTTAGACTTAATATAGGGCTAGACGCAAAGGATTTTTTGATGACCCAGCAGAAAAAAATATTTAATAAGTCATTTCTTAGACAGATATTTTAAATGTGTCAAAACAAGCAGACCTTAGTTGTTTACATACATTTTTGTTCAACAAAACTAAAAAAAAAACTCTTTAAAAACTAAATGTTGCACAACAGACTACAGTTCAAATATTAGTTATGAGTAGTTTTGCTAAATGTTTTGAGATGAGTTGTTGGTGATTGGATGTGTTTTAAATCAATTGGGTAGCTTTAAATAAACAAAAAAAAAATTAAGACATGTTCAAAATTATTATAGACCTACAAGACATTATTTCAGTGAATTTAAGACCTAAAATTGTGTTTTTGAAATTGAAGATATTTAAGACTGTAATATAATGTGGCAAATATGTGTGCATAAATTTAATGTAAAAAATTATCCAGACATTTCTTTCGTGTCACTTGCAATACTTGTGAAATATCTCATATGACACTAGAGACTGTATTCTGCCATTTTAGTGCTGCAAATGTAATGCCAACATTTCAATTCCCCTTGGTGATGCAATGACCTGGCGTTAATGACCTCCAACACTTGAGAAAGCAATGTGTGATGACCTCCATCAGCAGAAGCCCTGCAGCAGTTTGTCCCTTACCGTTCTGACAGGTCACCGCTCTCCCGACTCGCCCCGGAGTGGCTGCCCGAGCCGCCTGACTTACTGCTTCTTCCCATTGAAGCCTGGCTGGCCTCTGCAATCTCCTGGGAGGAGTTGTGAGAGGAGCTGTGGCCGCTGTCTGTTTCCTCCCAGCCTCCACCAGCCTGCCCCGGGCATCTGTGAGATGCTGAGATGAGGAGAAATGCTCAGTGCTTCAAAATCCTAAACACACACCTGACCTGCTTTTCATATCTGCTCTCACTTCTGTGGCTGTGGGATTGGATGTTGTAGGCGCATGCTGGCACTGCTATCTCCACAGCAGCAGAGGGCGCAACCACCGCATGGTAGTGGTTGTCATGAAGACGGAGGCCAGGATGCTCGGTCGGAGGAAGGACGGCGCTGGCAACCACCTCAGCAGCTTTCTGAATCTTGTCCAACAGAGTCCCTGAAGCTAAACCAGAAACACTGCATGAGATTTGACAGAACACTAGCATGCTTTCCAAATATTAGCACTGAGATCAGGACTTTGATGAATGCTGCTAAATGTCTGCCTTACTGGACTCTTTCCGTCCAGGGCTAGATCCAAAACCCTGCATCCCAGACCTGAGGGACTCTGAGCCCATTCCTGCAAAAACAAAAACAATATGCCATACAAACATACTTAACTACTATTAAAGGTCCAGTGAAATTAAAATAAAGTTTTATAGATGTCGATAAGCTAATGTGCTCCAAAACATTGACAAAAATTGTGTTTAAGAGATAATTTTGATATAAACGCCCAAAGCTTGCAATTTGTCACTTCCGCCTAAATGAATCAAACATTTTTTTTTCACCTCATACTTCAGTTTCTCATTAATCTTTGACTAATCAAATGCTCTCTAGTATTGCACATGCCCCACCACCTACAAGACGCTTCTCATTTGCTTTTCATTTCATGCGCTTGCACTCAACCACAAAGCTGTGAGAAAAACAAAACGCAATTGGCTGATTGGCTGTGAAAAGGGGAGGAGCTACTCTATGTCCCACCCTTTCTTCATGGTTCAGTTGAGATTACGTCAAATTTCGAATATAATATGCGCATTTCAAAGCACAGGACCTTTAAAGGTGCAGTATGCAGGATTGACCTACTGGTTGAACTCGGTATTGCAGTTAAATTCAACATATTGGATAGGGTTTTTTACCCCTCAGATCTCAACTGAGCCCCAAGTCACAGTCACAATAGTTTTTGAGCCAAGAGGCAACCCCCCGCTCTGGTTCGTGAAGCAAATACGGAAGTAACTGAAACTGCAATTCAGACATTTTGCTGGTTCTGGCTCTATAATAGAGCAGATTTCTATTGAGCCCACTGTTAAAATGGCCAACTTTACAGCAGAAAAAAAAGCCGTTTACAATTTTGGTTCATATAGCTAATATTACCCTTCATGACAACTGTGAGGGGGTGACTTTTTTTATAACTCATCTGTTTCATTTATGTTAGGTTATATTAAGTTAAAAAAATTAAGGGTGTGGCCACTTGAATGACAGCTAGGTCTCGCTGGTTGAGGTCACTTCACCTTAGCGGATTCCGGCTGATTAGCCACTGAACTTGGCATATGCATCGTATTTTTGTTTTGTTTGATGTGGCTTTACACAGTCAGTTGCTTTTTGGAATTATTTCTTACAATTATCAGATGATATGGCATGCTGTGTGCACTTAATTACGCTCACAAACTATTCACGTGGCCTCAATTTCCTAGGTGAGTGAACTTATATCCTTTTAGCCTTGCATTTACTAACACCGACTATATTGTAAGTGTTAACAAAATGGCAACGGTTGGCCACGCCTACTTGTAGCTTCTTTTGCCTTCGTCAGAAACCTATGGGCGACATCACAGATACTACGTCCATATCTTTTACAGTCTATGATTGAGTTCAACCACTAGGTATTGCAGTTAAATTCTAAATATTGGATAGGGTTTTTTTACCCCTCAGATCGCGATCGACCCCCAAGTCACAGTTAGAGTTTAAGCATGCAGATTTCTGTCAACCATGCTGCAAAAAGGGGTGAAAGAATAGATGACGTAGCATTGATAAAACAAATGATTACTCCATTTCTGCACAGAGGGGTCATGTTTTAATCTTCAATTCGAGTTATGCGTTCACATGACATGAAACAGTTCAGAGGTCATAGTTCACCCAACTTGAACTTTCAAATGCAGCGACATGCAAAACTTTTCGGTCTGCCGCATTTGCATAAGTATGAATGGAAGTCAAATGGGGTGAAATGGGCAATGTGACCACAGCTTTACACTGTAAACTGATCAGCTAAAATTTACGTTTGTAAATTTTAAATTGCAACCACCTTATTTATTACTGGGGAAATGCTACTGCTCTCTGAAAGTCACATTTATAGCCAAGCATTTTTAGCCATACCCACATATATTGAAGAAGCATTCATGTCTGAAATGAAATGCACTGTATTTTCACCAAGGCACACCCGGTACCAAAATATAATTATAAGAGCAAAAAAGACAGACGTTCTGACACGTAACGCACATGTTCAAAGCAGAATATCTGATTTTAGCTTTGTTTTTCAAATCAACAAACATTTCCACTTAGCATGTTTCTTAAATATCTGCAAACATATTATGGTATTTTATAATTTAGAAGAGTCAAAAATTTACATACAGCATTTTTAAAACAAGGAAATATGCTACAGGTGAAAGCAGCAGGGCTCTCGGTTCACTTACCCACAGAGTGAGTCATTGATTTGTGTGGAGACGATACAGAATCTGGAGACATTGAATCATTAAAGAGTAGACTAGCCAACTCCTGTACAGAAACAAAGAACAGTTCATTTTGGACATAAAAAGACAACTCACTCAATACACTGATGTCTTATGAAGCATAATGCACTGCGACAACCTGAACCATGAGTTTCCTGTCACATAGCGATGTACAGGCAAGCACAAACTCCTGACGCTGCTTATTTATATATTTTTTTAATTAGGTTGCAGCATCCAGGATAAGCACATATACCATTTTGATGAACAACACACACATCCTCCCTCTCAGTAGTAAACAAACAGTGTCAGCTCACATGTGAGTTTTCATTACTATGCTACAGGAAGTTTACACTCCAGACTGTCATGAATGGGCTCAGCACTCAATGCCAAGATAGTGGGTTGTTAATATTGTTTTAAGCAATGTTCACTTTCTTTTATACTGTTGCATATTGTTTATGAATAGATACATATACAGTTGAAGTCAGAATTATTAGCCCCCGTTTGTTTTTTTCCTAATTTCTGTTCAATGAAGAAAAGATTTTAACACATTTCTAAACATAATAGTTTTAATAACTCATTTCTAATAACTGATTTATTTGATCTTTGCCATGATGACAGTAAATAATATTTGACTAGATATTTTTCAAGACACTTCTATACAGCTTAAAGTGACATTTAAAGGCTTAACTAGGTTAATTAGGTTAACTAGGCAGGTTAGCATTATTAGGCAAGTCATTGTACAACGATGGTTTGTTCTGTAGACCATCGAAAAAAATATAGCTAAAAGAGGCTAATAATATTGACCTTAAAATGTTTTTTTTTTTGGAATTTTTATTCTAGCTGAAATAAAACAAAATACTTTCTCCTGATTAAAAAATATCAGACATCCTGTGAAAATTTCCTTGCTCTGTTGAACATCATTTAGGAAATATTTAAAAAACAAAAACAAAAAAAATCAAAGGGGGGCAAATAATTCTGACTTCAACTGTATGTTTGTTTCTTACAAGACTTTAACACATAAGACAACTAAAAATCTATTAATCATAGAAATGGCTGTACTGAAGTTTAATGGGTCACTGATATTAATTTATCTGTACAGAAAGACAATTATACCTGAGCCGAGCTTCTGACTTTCTGATAGAGAGCATTTCCATGTATAGGATCTGGTGGCCCACTGTAAACTAAGAAAGACACAATATAACATTAAAAGGTTAGTTTACCCGAAAATGAAAATTCTGTTATTCATAACTGAATCTTCATATTGTTACAAACACATAAGACTTGTACACCGTCTGAACACAAATGAATTTATTTTTGATTATAAATGTCAGCTCTCTGACCCTCCATAGACAGCAAGGGTCCAGAAAATTTCAAAGCACAGAAGGGTACCAAAATCATTCAGGGCTCAACAATAAGGACTGCCTGATGGCCCGGGGCCAATGTGAGAGATGCTCGGGACAGAAGACATAATCTATATTTAATATTTAATCTATATTTCATATTTGTCAATTGCGTGCAAATACAGTCTTAGAATCAAGAAATCAAGAAGTTTGTGCTTTTAAGCCTTTAAATGCTACCTTCTCTGTAAGTGTAAACACCATATTGCTTTTCGGTTCCTCTTATCTGATTAGATGTTGTGAGCATGTTATATGTTAATTTTTTCCATAACCTGGTAAAAATCAGAGACTGAAATAAGCCTAAAAGAAAATTTCTGTTTCTAACGTCTTGAAAACATTTATGTGGGTACAACACGATGAAAAAAATAAGTGATGTTTTGCACAGTTTGCCGTACTTTTGGCAGGTCAGTCACCTTTTGTTTTGCAATAAAATACCTGCACATTTTCCGTACTGCTATATTTCACTGCTAAATATTTGAACATTTAAATATTTAAATTCTAGATTCACATGCGTTATTTTTGACACATCATTTAAAATATGTAGCTATTAACTTTTTTTGGTGGAAAAAAAATCTTTAGCGTTGAACCCTGTATTGTCAAAGCATTTCATGTTCCTTCAGTGATTTAACTATAATTTTATGAACCAATGTGTGCAATAAAAAAACAAAAAAACAATCACTTTATTTATTTTTTTTACTAAATTTTTATTAATTTTGTGCACATAAAATTATTCTTGTTGCTTTATAAAATTGAGCTTGAACCTCTGAAGTAACATGTAATATTTTGACATTGCTTTCGGAATTCAAACTTTTTGTACCCTTTCTGTCTATGTAGGGTCAGAGCGCTCTTAGATTATAACTTGTTTGGTAAATGGACAAAGGTCTCATTGGTTTGAAACCACAAGATGCTGATTAATTAATGGAAGTATTTTCATTTTAGAGTCAGCTATCTCTTTAAAAAGGGCTCGCCTTTATACAGACTTGAAATCAACTTGTCATATAACACAACTTTTACAATTAAAATGTAATCTGAAAAATGTCTATTACACAAACTAATCTGCATTTTTGCAGCAATATTGTAAAATTACAAATACAATATAAAATAAGTAGAAAAGCTGTTTTTTTATTAATATTAATCCTTAACATTCAATGTTAAAAAATGAACAAAATTATAATAAATCTAAAATTATTATACCAATTCTTTATTTTCAGTTTGGTCCATCAAGTAAAATAAGTTTGGGCATTGCTGCATCATATAATAGTATAGATCAGGGGTGCACAAACTTTTTTGTATGACCGGCCAAAAACTAAATATCATTGAGAGCTGAGGGTCAAATGTTTCAAAATAAATCGAAAATAATACTTTATATCATATTAATGAATGCTGTATAGTTTTAAATGATTACTAATTACAATAAAAAACATTTATAAAACAGTGGAGTTCAATGCTGAATACAGTAGTGAAGCAGAATCTACCGTTGCCTTTATTTGCTCACTGATGTCTCTGCATTGTCTTCTATCTATTGGGTGACAGTATGTACATAAAAAAATCTGGTTTATTTACATGATCTCATTGAAACATTTCGTATTTCAGTTTTTGTAGCTTAGCAATAAAACAGTCAGTGGCGAAGCAGTGGTGCAGTAGGTAGTGCTGTCGCCTCACAAGCAAGAAGGTCGCAAGTTCGAGTCTCGGCTCAGTTGGCGTTTTTGTGTGGAGTTTGCATGTTCTCCCTGCATTCGCGTGGGTTTCCTCCGGGTGCTCTAGTTTCCCCCACAGTCCAAAGACATGCGGTACAGGTGAATTGGGTAGGCTAAATTGTCCATAGTGTATGAGTGAGTGTGAGAATGTGTGTGTGGATGTTTCCCAGATATGGGTTGCGGCTGGAAGGGCATAAAAACCCATAAAAAACCCAGTAAAAACTTGCTGGATAAGTTGGCGGTTCATTCCCGGATTAATAAAGGGACTAAGCCGACAAGAAAATAAATTAATGAATGACACCATCCTCTTAATTCTCATGCTCTTCTAAAATGGGATGGTGGGCCAAATCAAAGGTTACCATAGGCCAACTTTGGCCCAAAGGCCCTAGTTTGGGCATCTCTGGTATGGAATCATTTGCTATATGCCCTTAATGTCATTGTATTGTTTACAAGTTTTATTACTTATGTATATTTTTAGACCACATTTTATGTACAATTGTATATATTGTAAATTTTCTTTTTTTTAAACTCTACGTTTTATATTAATGTTAGGCACCTTGGGTCTGAGAGCAACGTAATTTCGATTCTCTGTATGTCCTGTACATGTGACTGAATTGACAATAAAGCTGACTTTGACTTTGACTATACTGTCTTTTTTCCCTTTATCTTGAATAGTTTGAACCTGCTTACCAATAACTTCTTGTATAAATGTAGCATTTCGCCGTAGCTCTGTGAGGAAGTGAGGTGGTCCATGGCCACATACATGCAGGAGAATCTTCAGAACCTGAGACAGGATTAATAAAGACAGCATAATAAACACCAGAATTTAAAAACACTTAAGAGCTCAACAAAAGAATGTAATGATTTTAAACATACTTTTGGTAACCATAAAAGAAAACACTGAGCTTGTTTCATTATTTTACCTTAAGTTTAACATGGCACGACTCCACCTGTAGTCTCTCCAAAAGGTACTCCAAAAGACACTGGCAGCAGCCCACTGACTCATGGGAAATTTCTGAAATCATGACAGTCAAGGTCCACTGATGGCAAAGCATTCATTATTCTGCCGTACTCAGTTCTCTTCCGCAATGCCACAAAAAGGATACTGCTGATTTCCTCGAAGAGATAGCCAGGACAGGGCGATTCGTCATCTGATGTTGCTCGCATAAGCGTTGGCACCTGAGATATGCACACAAAAAAAAGAGCTGAGCAAATCTCTCCTCCAGCAACATTCATTTTTAAACCACTGTACATAGATAACAAGGTCAGTGTCCTTCAGGCAAACTGAAATAAAGATCCTTGATTGAGGTTTAAACTGGAGACATTTAGAATATATATATATGGTGAAGATGGTGGCACAGTGGGTAGCACTGTCGCCTCACAGCAAGAAGGTCGCTGGTTCAAGCCTCGGCTGGGTCAGTTGGCATTTCTGTGAGGAGTTTGCATGCTCTCCCTGTGTTCACGTGGGTTTCCTCCAGGTGCTTCGGTTTCCCCCACAAGTCCAAAGACATGCACTACAGGTGAATTGGGTAAGCTAAATTGTCCATAGTATGTATGTGTGTGATGAGAGTATTGGTGTTTCCCAGTGATGGGTTGCAGCTGGAAAGGCATCCACTGCATAAAACTTGTGCTGGATAAGTTGCCAGTTCCTTCCACTGTGGCGACCTCTGAATAATAAAGGTACTAAGCAAATAAAAAAAAAAATTGAATGAATGAATGAATGAATAGGGTGAAGACACACTATAATATATTCAATATGCACTTATCTGTTTATTTAGAACAACAGACCATTTTGAGGGATGTAAACGATACCAAGGGTCCACATATTTCCTGTTTTACGTTTTTACTTCCCACAGCTTCCAATAATTAAAGTTCTGCATATTGATAAATAATGTTATGATAGCTGTTTTAACATTAAGTTATGACTGAATTGCCTTTTGTTACAGATATGAAATAGTTTGACAGCAAGCAAGAAATGTTTGTGGGCTGATGACATGCCCACATTGAAATGGTCTATATATTCATAGGGATACACTGATATGGAAGTTTTGCCAAATATCGATAACTACAGTAATCAACGTTTGAAGTGAATCAAAACCTATCATCAAAGTTGTCCTAAAACTATTTAACAACACTCTTGCCTTAAGACAATTTTGAATTACATTTTTAATCCACTTTAATTGTTGACTACTGTATTTATATCTGAAAGACGATAACTGAAGACAGGAAAATAGATAAAAATATCGATATACATTTTAAGTCTGATTATAAAAACAAAATGCAAACAAATGAAGTGGAGAACCAATCTCTGTGGCAGGAGATCGTGTTGCTGTGGTTCTACCCTTCGACCACCACCCGTTCCACAATGCACCCGCCCCTTACGGCTCCCCCTGCAAGTGCTGGGCCTGGAGGACGATGGTCCTACGTCGCTCCTTCGGGGAAAGCCCGGTCGGGCTCGTATACAATGTTGTTCTGTTGGCTTCATCGAACATAGACCTTCAGCATGCACTGGGGTGGTTTGCTTGCCAGTGTGACACGGCTGAGATGAGAATCAGCACCTCCAAGTCCAAGGCCATGGTGCTCCACCGGAAAAAGGTGGTTTACCATATCCATGTTGGTGGTAAGTCCTTACCCCAAGTGGAGGAGTTCAAGTTTCTGGGGTTTTGTTCACGAGTGAGGGAAGGATAGAAGGTGAGATTGACGGGCGGATTGGTGCAGCGGCAGCAGTAATGCAGTTGATGTATCAAGTCTGTTGTGGTAACGAAGAGGCTGAGCCGAAAGGCAAAGCTCTCGATTTACTGGTCAAACTATGTTCCTACTCTCACCTATGGTCATGAGGTTTGGGTCATGACTGAAAGGTAAAGATCTCAGATGCAAACGGCCAAAACGAGTTTCCTTAGCAGGGTGGCTCTTAGAGATAGGGTGAGGAGCTCTGTCACCCGAAAGGAGCTTAGAGTAGAGCCACTGCTCCTCCACATCGAGAGAGGTCAGCTGAGGTGGCTCGGGCATCTGTTTCGGATGCCTCCTGCATGCCTATCTAGGGAGGTGTTCTAGGCATGTCCCACAGGGAGGAGGCCTAGAAGAAGACCCAGGACATGCTGGAGGGACTATATCTCCTGGCTGGCCTGGAAACACCTCAGGATCACCTGAGGATCCCCTCAGAGGAGCAGGAGGAATGTCAGAATAGAAAGAAGTCTGAGGTTCTCTCCTAAGACTGCTGCCCCCGCTACCCGGCCCCAGAAAAATGAATGAAAATGAGATGAGAAATGGGGATGGACAAGTTATTTTATTTTAAAACTGTAACTGCAGAAAACGCCCAGCAGTACACACCAGAAGAAATAATAAACCCTAATTCATCTACTGATTATATATTTTTTTATAAAGCTATTAATAACAATATCAGTAAAAATGAGCATTTATCAACCAATACTAATTATTACTATTAATTATAAATACGAATTACTTTCTGAATCCTCTTACATTTTCAGTACAGTCAGTACCCATACCATAAATGTTCTATGGCAATACTGAGGTTACTTTAATGTAACGTAGAGTATTAATATGACACTAATGTAACAAACAGTTTTAGTATTACCCTGGTTTTACCACAGACCATTTGCACTTGTGTCATTACTATGGTACATGTCAAAAATACCATAGTAGTAAGTACCACAACACTGTCCAAAACACCATGGCATATTTGATTGTACATTTCCAGCGTCTACAAACATAAATATCAATCATTTGTACATGTAAACAGTGTAGTGACCACATATATCGCCAGATATTGAATAAACAACGTAAGGAATGACGTTTGGCGATAGCGACAGCTGAAATGACGTTATTTTGCCCGGTGTCGCGGATACGTACTTTTTGTAGGAAGACCAACCGTTCCAGTATTGAAACCATGATGGAGCAGTCTGTGTTTTTTCGCCTGGCTGTGTACCATTTCTCAGAGGGCGGATGACCGTGCAGGTCCTGCCTGCGAGAATCTCCGCACAAACCACAGGAAACCTCAGTTTAGCTCAGACACTCTCGTTTGACACAGCGAGGTCAGAGTTGTGAGTCGACTCTTTTAGTTGAATCAGTTCGACTAGGTTGCTTATTTAAAATGAGCTGTTCAATGGAACCGATTCACTGACATGAACCGTAGATACTAAAATGCACGTGACTAAACGCGGACGTGAAACTGGGGTGGATTTCGTGAACATCCTGAAAAAGTCTTTGAAGTCTGCGTCCTTGCTATTGGCTGCTCACCATACGTAGAAAACTATGACCAATCATAAACCAGCGACATGTTTTCTGGTTCAGAAGTAGCGCTGTGATTGACCAGATTCTCCTCAGTGGGAGGGTTTACACGCGCTGTCTCAGAGGTCACCAGCATGGCGCTGTCCATGTTCAATATACACTCTGCTTACATCTCCATGACTTTTGTGAATAACTGACTGACACAGTGATTTAAAATGATTTAATCCTAGCAAAATTCGATTCTGCTGGTCCATAAAAGGATTATTTATTTCTTGAACTATGTCGGGTTCAAATGTTTGGACTCGCAGCAGAGCGAGAATGAGACTCTTCCCAGAGCTGATGGCTCAGTGCTCAGGAGAGGTACATTTACATTTATTTATTTATATATATATATATATATATATATATATATATATATATATATATATATATATATATATATATATTTATTTATTTATTTATTTATGCACATGTACACTGTAAATACACACAAACACACAATTTGACAACTTCCCTGTGTGTTTGAATTAAAAAAAAATGGCCTGCACAATACACGTTTTAAGTTAAGAAATCGATAATTGGTGGAATAATGATCATTATTTTCAATCACACCAAATAACTTAATTTCTTATTTGACCAATTGTAATTTTCTGAAAACAAATTCTCTAAATAACAGTTGTTGTTTTAATATATAACCAATGTTATCAAACCTTTACTGAATAAAACAAATAATAACATTTCACTCAAACCCACACCTAATAAACAAATCCTGAAAAATAAAATATTATATTAAACTAAATTATGTTAATAGGCCACTGCTTATGGGAAATGTGTAGCCGCCACAACCACTGGCAAACAGGAGCTGACCAGAAACATGTGCGTCAAAGAATTTGAAGCACTGAAAAGCTGTTTTCAATCTGCTGTGAGTGATTTCCTTTCTTACATTTTCTTCTTTTGTATTACTATCGAGCAAGATAATAACTGTGTTTCATTCATGACATGGCTAATCATAAACTATATATATATATATATATATATATATATATATATATATATATATATATATATATATATATATATATATATATATTAGTGGTGTATTGGATCCCAAATCTAAGGATTCGGATCACATCGTTTTTTAGTCATGGATTGGACCATTTTTTCTGATCAGCCAAGAAGGGGAGACAAATGTAATTTGCTTCCCATTTATTACAAAAACAGCACTGCAAGACACTTTTGGTTTTAACAAACAAAACTCAGAACCTATAATTTTATTAAAAATATAATGAAGAAATAATCAGCTGAATAAAAATAAATTGTAAAATATTCAGTACTGTGAACAATTCAGTTTCTACTACTGTTGCTGATGACTCTAAAAGTATAAATCTAACATTATAATTCGGACAATCCATATTTATTTTTAGTCTAATTTTCGAATAATGATTCAGTTATTCACTTGTAAATCTTCATGTTTCATTGCTGGATGCATCATTTTTGAAGAATTACTGAGTGGCATATTATTGATGCCTGGTTGTCGCCACCTATTGATTTAAATAATGTAATTGCTGCCTACAACTTTCATTTTTGAGCGTCATTAATGATGGTGATTTTAATCTCTACCATAAACATCAGTGATTTTATCCAAACTTTAAACTGTTATTCCAGTACTTCGGTGTTATTTTACTGTTTGAAACTAACTCAAAGACTAAATACTCAATCTCTTTCTTGATTTTCGCGTTTTCAGATTTGAATGCAGCTATTCGAATGAATATATGCAAATCACCATTATTTATAATAAATATTGCGTGGGTGTTAAGATCCCGATCTTTCAATGATTAATCGTGCAGCTTACACTGAATGCATCGATGCAGGCTAAACATGAAGTGACAGAAAACACTTTTAATAAACTGAAAAACCCACCACATCCCGAATAACCCACCACAACTTAGTCCATCTTCGTTATATTTTACAGAAAAGCCTAAATGCTTTCATACATGTGATTTGAATGACGTGAGACGCTAGATCTCTCTGTGATAATTTAAAATTTTGGATTAATCTACCAGTAAAAAACACATTAATCCATGGATCATGTGTGTTCCGAACCGTGTGTTGTGATCCTTATGAATCACGGATTAACTGTGATCTGTTACACCCCTAATATTTAAATATGACATGTTTAGGATGATGCTGTTTTTTAAACGTGTTTTGATATGTTATTTTGATTATACAAGTTATTTGAATCAATAAAGTTGCTCTACTGCCATTTTAGATGCTATGTATTTATATATATCATAAACTTAATCTGATACAGATGTCAAAATGGGACAATAACTAATTGTTTCTCATTTTTTGCAGGCGAAAAAAGCAGTAAAGTGAAGAATATTATGTTGGAGATTATTATAATTTCCCAGTGAACCATTTCTCTGTTAATATGCATGACTGTACTGTACAATAATGTCTCAAAACAATAACTCCATTGTGTACAAATCTATAATAAAGTCTCTTTTTTATATATAAAATCTCTAATAATAATGTTTTTTCTTCAGACATAGAACATAACATACAGAGGCAGTTTGGCCTGAATTATTTCACCGTCTGCATCCATTACCCTCCCCTTTCCACAAATCAATATACCAGAATGAGGATAAAAGAGCCTGACTAATGATAAGCAGACATTCGCTGTTGTTCAGAGTGTGTAATTGATGAGGGAGAAATGAGATATGAGGTGCTACATGATGGGTGGTCATTATGACGCTCTTGACCGTCACACGATTCCACCTTCAAATCTGGACTCGCTCCTAAAATCCAAAATGGCGGTTTTAGGGGGTTTGTTTCCAATCAAACAAAAGCCGGCCGAAACATGAAAGGCCGACTGATTAATGTGTATCCGTGGGGTGTACGTCAATGGCACCACAAAAGATTATGGGCTCCTAGTCGTCTCGTATGGAATGTAAAGCCGTGCCACTGTTAAATACACCCTTCCTGCGCAACCTGAACCCTCATTAGCCACATGTTAATTGATAGAAGGGCCATAAAAGCAGCAACTAATGACTGGGGATCAACAAACAATTCAAGCAGCCAATTAGAGGGACGGATCGGGTATTAAAAAACTGTTGCCAGAAAAGCAGTGACCTGTATATCAAGAAGAAAATGCTTTAGCTTAGTCATGATCTTTGTTTGTGGCCTTCCGTCATATGGGCTTCATTCACACGTTTTCAGCGCTCTACAAGGTGTTAATTGAAAGAGAATGGTCTTGTGGAAATGGTTGCGTTTGGGCCAAATTGGCAATAAAATCTAAGGGTTTGGGGGAACTTGTCTTGACGTTGAAAAGGGTTATATGTGGATGATCGGTTTTGTGCGCAATGTGCATCAAATTAATCTATAGTTTTTTTTGTGTGTTTGTCAGTCATACATTTTTAGCAATATTTATAGAAGTCTCCCTCCAAAATGTAAAAACAAAAACTTGTCTTAGATATTTAAAGGCATATTTTCAGGACGGTAAATTATTCTATTCAAAATAAGAAGTAAACATATGAAATGTCTTGAGATATCTTTGTTTTGGGAGTGTGTGTGTGTGTGTGTGTGTGTGAACATTTCTGAAACATATTTCACCATATTTAATCACTGGCCACTTTATTAGGTACACCTTACTAGTTCCAGGTTTGACCCCCGTTTCTGTTCATGACTGCTTTTATTCTTTGTGGCATAGATTCAGCAAGGTACTGGAAATATTCCTCAGAGATTTTGGTCCATATTGACATGATAGCGTCAAGCAGTTGCTGCAGGTTTGTCGGCTGCACATCCATGTGAATCTCCCGTTGCACCACATACCAAATGTGCTCTATCGGATTGAGATCTGGTGACTGTGGAGGCAATTTGAGTACAGTGAACTAATTCTCACGTTCAAAAAAAAACAGTCTGAGATGATTCACACTTTATGACATGGTGCGTAATCCTGCTGGAAGTAGCCATCAGAAGATAAGTACACTGTGGTCATAAAGGGATGGACATGGTCAGCAACAATACTCAGGTAGGCTGTGGCATTGACACAATGCTCAATTGGTACTTATGGGCCCAAAGTGTGCCAAAAAAAACCCCCACAAAGTGTGCCAAAAAAAAACCCCACATCATTACACCACCACCACCAGCCTGAACAGTTGATAGAAGACAGGATGGATCCATGCTTTCGTGTTGTTGATGCCAAATTCTGACCCTACCATCCAAACAGGCAACATTTTCCCAATCTTCTATTGTTCAATTTTGGTGAGCCTGTGCGAATTGCAGTCTTAGTTTCCTGTTCTTAGCAGACAGGTGTGGCACCTGGTGTGGTCTTCTGCTGCTGTAGCCCATCTGCCTCAAGGTTTGATGTGTTGTGCATTCAGAAAGGCTCTTCTGCATACCTCGGTTGTTACAAGTGGTTATTTGAGTTACAGTTACCTTTCTCCCAGCTCGAACCAATCTGGCCATCCTCATCTGACCTCTGGCATCAACAAGGCATTTGCGCCCACAGAACTGCCTCTCACTGGATATTTTCTCTTCTTTGGACCATTCTCCGTAAGCCCTAGCGATGGTTGTGAAAATCCCAGTAGATCGGCAGTTTCTGAAAAACTAATAAAGTGGCCAGTGAACGTACACCACTATTTGAACCATAAATCAATAACTTGAGAGAAAAATAGAGTGGGCCTATATTGGAAAGATTTGTAAAGATTTTAAAACATACATTCACAAAAACCAAAAACAAACTCACAAAAAGTTGCTGTAACATAAATGTTTTTTCTTTATTAATTTTACCCAATTAAAGAACAAAACAAAATGATTAAAGCCAAAGAGTCACCAAGATTTGAAATCCAATAACATTGTAATATGATCTGGTGACTTAAAACATCTGCATATTGATCAGTTATAGACCAATGAGAAGGCAGCAGCATTCCATTAATCTCTCATGATCCCAAACCATACTTCTTGTTTGAACTAGCAAAAGTAGGACGAAAATCTGGAAATTCGTCAAAAGAATATTTTATTACCCTGACCAGTTTAACCAGCAAGGTATAGAGAATGCAGTTAGTGGAAAAACAGACTCAATCCACACACAGTGTGGGTGTAACAGACTTCACATACACTGCAGAACAAACACAAACCCATAAGGCACTGAGAAAAAACATGGAATGTGAAAAAACAAAACAATTAACCCAATGCACAGTAAAAACAGGAACCAACTGTGAGAATGTTCAACAGCAAATCAGGAGTATATATATGGTCCAATTTCAGAACAGAACAGAATCAGAGACTTATTACTATTTGAGCAAATTACTATGCTCAATTTTATGCAGCTAACAAGAAATCAGACATTTAACATCACCTGGAACATCGGCTAAAATATTTCATGCACTTATAGTCAATTTATCCAAATAATAGTCATAGTTACATTTTAAATATACTAACTATTAATTGTCATAAATTAACTATTTGAAAGGAAATCTGATACTGCAGATCCACAAAGAATAACACTTCTTTTCAAAGGCACACACTTGATTGCATTCAAATAGAAAAACATTTAATAAAGGGCTTTGGATCAATACAAAATTGTTTACAGCGTAGATCTCAAACTTGATTCCTGGAGGGCCGCAGCTCTGCACAGTTTTGCTCTAACCCTAATTAAACACAGCTGATCAACAAATCAACGTGTTCAACACTACTAGAGATTGCGCAGGTGTGAGTTGAAGCTAAACTGTGCAGAGCTGCAGCTCTCCAGGAATTGAGTTTGAGACCACTGCTTTACGTTTCCATCATTTGTTCAAACACCTTCTTTTGTGTTCAACATAGAAAGGAAAGTAAGACAGGTTTGTGTGAACTATCCATTATTGTAAGTCTCTGTTTGGGGCTTTCAAAATCTTTCAGTCACATAGCGGTGTAAAAATATGTCAGTGACTGTAGTCTCAGAACCTTTTTTTAACATCTATTCTAACTGAATGACCCCCTGAACATGTTGGCCAACGTAACATCATCACTCCATTTTCAACATTACAGGATAGTAAATGGTCCAATAGTTCCTACAGAACCAAAAATTCATCAGGTCTTAAGAGGATAAAAGCTTTATATTTATTAAAAAAAAGGTTTACCTTTATTCCCAGAAGGTAAACCTTCAATTAAATTTCAGCACTTTGCTTGCAATTTACATAGCAGCCACAAGAGGGTACACTTGTGCCATTTTCCTATACGTTGGTCCACAACCCAATATTCTGAAAATGCCCTGTGTGCCCATCAAGGCTTGATTTTAATGTGATGCCTGCTCAGTTTATTACACCAGACATTCAGTTTATTGCACCAGATTCTGCAAAATCTCACACAAAACAATAATAGAGGCTCATAAGGGACTATGAGTTCAGGGTTCCCGGTGGACAACTAAGGGATCAAATCAAAGTGCCCACTGTCATCATAATCCCAAAAGGAATGTTTTTTGTCTTCAAGGCCTCTTCTTTTAAAATGAGGAGGAGACTCTTCTAGCATCCAGATCACTTGGTATGTTTTTGAGCATGCTTTCCTGAACATTCATTTCAGAGGCTCACTGAGAGGTTCAAGGGGGAGGTTGTAACCAGGGGTTTTATGAATGCAACAGTATGTACAAGGCCCAAAATGTTGGAAAAGCCATTTCTGTACCTTGGGAGATGCCCCCTTCAGAACCTACTTTTTACCATAGGTGCCTGGAGCAAAAGCCTGTGCACAGACCCCACAATCCCTAGTGACACCCTTGCTTGTCCTTGCCGACAGTGACCTACTCTTCATTCACCTGTCTTTGAAACGTCTGCTGAAGCTGGCGTGTGTGAACCAGAGTCTCTGCCATCAACTGCCCCTTTAGATCAGGATTTAAGAATAAACCCCCTACATCCTGCAGAAGATCCAGGTCAGCGCCTTCTCCACCCTCTAGGTCCAAAGCTCTGCGCCTTCTCTTAAGGTCCAGTCCGCCATCCTCTCTGCTCCTCTTTTCCTGTTTCTGCTCCTCAAGTGGGACGATGTTCTCCTTTAAGTCCCTGCCTCCGTTTTGCTTGGGCATTGGGGGGACTCCTTCTTTTAGAGCATCAGCTTCCTTTTTGGCATCGATGACCTGCTGTAGTTGCTCTAGCCGTTCCTTGTGCTCTTGAATTACTTTCTCCTTCTCGGCGCGCTCCATGATCTCTTTATCCATCTTCTCTCGTTCCTGTTTCAAATTCTCATCCTCAAGACTTTCCTTCTTCTGCTTCTCATGTCGTGCATCGATGACCTGCTGCAGCTGGTCTACACGTTCCTTGTGCTCGAGCAATCTTTTCTTCTCCTCAGCACGCTCGATGATCTCTTTTTCCATCTTCTCTCTTTCCTCTTTCAATCTCTCCGCTTCTAGCCTTTCCTTCTCTAAATGTTCCTTCTGCTGCCGCACGAGTTCTAGCTCCTTTTCTCGTGCAAGCTCTTCTCTTTTTTCCCGCTCCTTCCTCTCCTTCTCCACTCGAGCCTGCACCTCCTTCTCAATCCTTTCCTTCTCCAGCTT